AAGAACACAGGACCCGCCTCCTCCCTGCCCCAGGGTCCCCACGGCCCACCAGGCCTCCCAAAAGGCTTCACTCTAGGGGAGAGGGCAGAGAGGAAATTCTCTTTGTCCAAAAGATCCCAGGGGTTTGGGTCCGAGCTAAGGAACAGCCGGGAGGGCATTTGCCCTGCAAGCAGCCAATCCAGGTTCGATTCCTGGACCCCCATATGGTCCCTCCGGACTCACCTGGAGTGAGTGACCCCTGAGCATAGAGTCAAAAGTAACCCCTGAGCACTGTCATGTGCGGCCCCAAAACAGCAACAAAAAAAATTAAAACTAAAAAAAAAAACAAGATCTAGGGGTGAGAGGACAGCCTCATAGGGACCCCCTTAGGATGGAGCCCTTTGGAGCCCTTTGCCCCTTTCTGCCCACGCCACACCCCTTCCCCCTCCCTGCAGCCCAGTGTCCAGAGCCTCCGGAGGGGCTAGATCCCACGCAGGCTGCAGGCTCCGGAACCATGCCCTTCCTTTATCTCTTTGAAGACCAGCAAGGGGGAAGCGGCCAGGGGCCACGCTAATCACAGAGGCTGGGCCGCCCGGGGCAAGTTTCTCAATGTCTCCTACAGTTTCCTCATCTCCTGAGCCTGACCCCAGGCCCCACGGAGCTCCTTGCCCTGCCCCCCAGGCCTGGCAGGGGCAGCCCACAGGCCTGGAGGCAGAAACAGTACTGAGGGTAAGGGGCACATGGCCCAGTTGGAATCCCCGGCACCTCATGTGCCCCACCCCCCAACACAATCAGGAGAGACTCCTGAGTGCAGAGCCAAGGCAGGCTGGGCCAGAGGACAGCAGGGAAGGCGTTTGCCTTACATGCGGCCCACCAGACCAGGGTTCGGTCCCCAGCATCCCACATGGTCCCCCGTGCACCATCAGAAGTGACTTCTGAGTGCAGAGGCAGGAGTCACCCCTGAGCACTGCTGGGGGTGTTGCCCCCACCACTACCAAAAAAAAAAAAAGAGTGAGCATTGAGCCAGAACAAGCCCTGAGCACCTTTGAGTGTGGTACAAACCCCCACCCCAGGACAAAGTCTTCTTCCAGAGGGGCTGGCCTGAAGTCACCCCACCCACGCTGACAAAGGAGAGTAACCACTGCCCTGGCAAAGCCCACAGTGCCCCAGGACCCCTGCCCAGTCTCCACCCGGGGAAACCAGGCCTGGAGGAGTTTCCTACGGGGGAGACAAGGCTGGAACTAGAGGAAAGTGGCAGCTGGGGGGGGGGGGGGGCGGAGAGCGGGTGTGTGTGGGATGCCACTGAATTGTGCACTTGAAATGGTTATGGGGGGGGGAGGGCAGGGGCCGTGCGTTGCAGCAAGTTATCGAGTAGCTCTGCCGGCTGCAGGCCCAGAGTTGGATCCTCTGGGAGGGAGCCCAGAGCACAGAGCATGGAGCAGGCCCAGAGCTCCCCTGGGTGTGGCCCCAAAATGAAACTAGAGTGAATGTGTGTGTGGAGGGGTGGGGATGCGGGGTAGGGCTGGTACAAGGTCTGCCTGGGGGAAGGAACGGGACAGGACCCCCTGCACCAACCGGCACCACCCCAAGTCATCAAGTTCGGTCCCCAAGTGGGCAACTTTCCAGCCAGTGATACAATCACAGGCGTCCCCGTCCCCGACGGGCCACTGCACAGAGGTAGGTCTCTCCTGCCCGTGGCTCTCATCTCCCTGACAAATAAGGGCGCCTGTAAGTGCGAGATGAAAGGAAGAGGCAGGAGGGGGAGGGGCTGAGGTATGAGGAAGAAGGACTAGGCCCCAACAGGGAAGTGGAGGCCTGGGAAAGGAGGTGGGGGCCCCCTGGCGACCTGGGAGGGTGTCCCGGGGGAGGTGGCCGAGTTGGGGGAGTGGAAGGTGGGCACAGGCAGGAGAGAGTGGGCTGCTGGCTCTCCGCCTCGGAGCTCTTGGCTGCGGCTCAGACTTGGGCCTGGGAAGCTCCTGGCGTGGGGGCAGGGCCCGCTGGTCTGGATTTTTCTGGTGGTGCCTCAGCAGGTAGATGGGGCTCTTCCAGAGCCTGGCCCAGCTGCCTGATGGAAGCTTCCCCTGCCCACCCAGGGGAGCGGGGTCCTGGGGGTGGCGCTTGGCTGAGTGTCCCCTCAGCTCCCTGGGCCTCGCCCTCGTCCTGCACTGGCCCAGCTGCCACTAAGGGCAGTACCCCCTGGGCTGTGGGATGGGGCAGGGGAGAGGATGGGGGAGCATCAGGGGCTTTTGTCAGACCCAAGAAGGTGAGTGGGGCAGAAACAGAAGTCAGGGGGTGAGGAGAGCCCTCCGGAATCAATCCCCCCACTTCCCTCCTCTCCCTCCTGCACCACTTCTGCACATGCTCAGTGTGCCCATGAATTGGGTTGGCTGGGGGAGGGCATGGCCTGGCACCCCCACTTAAAGGGCCAGTGCCATCCCTGCCTGCACCCTGCAGGGCTCTGGGACCTGGCCACACAGGTCTCGCCACTTCTGACTCCATCTCAGCCACCCTCCAGGTAGTCCCCCACACAGGGTCTCTTCTGACACGGGCACCCCCCACCCACAGGTGGGGAGTCCAATCAGGGAGGCAGGAGGAGCCTGGCCAGGGGGCCCAGGGGTGGTCTCCAGAGTGCACTTGAGGGAGGGAGTGAGTCAGTGTGGAAGGGCTGCAGGGGGAGGGGGCATGTCTCCTTCAAGGGCCTTCTGACCCTGTCACTGGGGGGTCACAGGCTCCCCTGTGGACCAGCCCTGGTAGCTAAATCTTTCTGGTACTGAGCCCTGAGACACCCAGTTCTAGTTCATGGTTGGGGCAACAGAGGTCAGGGCCCAGATGGGGAAGGGGATGTTACCCCAAGCCTTCTTCACTAATCCAGCTCAGTCCCTTCGTTGTTTTTTTTTTTTTTTTTGCTTTGGGTCACACCCGGCTATGCTCAGAGGTTACTCCTGGCTCTGCACTCAGGAATCACTCCTGGCAGTGCTCAGGGGACCATATGGGGTGCAGGGGATGGAACCCGGGTCCTCCATGTGTAAGGCAAATGCCCTCCCTGCTGTACTATGGCTCAGGTCCTCTCCTGACGCTCTTTCAACTCGCCCCTACCTTTGTTTTCTTCCGGTCTTATCCCAGTACCCCCAACCAGCTTGAGAACATCAACAACCAGCAGCCCCGGACCTGACCCCCAGCTACACCCAGTCTGGGGGCGCAGAGGGGTAGGGCTGGCCAATGGCTGCTTCCCTGGCTCTGGCTGTGGCCCTCTCAAGGTCCAGTTCTCACCTATCTTCTCTCTGTCCCCCGCTCAACCCACAATTCCACATACACACTCCTCAGCACCCTCTCCTCCCTACCACACCCACAAACACCCGCCCCACACCTCCCCCACCCCACCCCACACCCCCTGAAGCAGCCCTCCGGGAATCTTCTTAGTCACACACACACAGAAGCATGTGCCTCCCTGGGCATGTGTGTGTGTGTGTGTAAACAACCTTCATCCTGTCCTGCAGTCCCTTGGGATTCCCTGCCGAGGAATGCAGCGGCGGCAGCTGCGGTGGGAGCCCCGAGCCTGCGAGGCTTTTCCTCCCAGGCCAGAGGCCCACAGGCAAGCAACAGGCATCTGGCCAGTGTTCCCAGGAAAAGCCACATCCTTGGACTCTGTCATCTGCAAAGTGGGAACAACCGGGCAACTGGGCCTCCGCCTTTCCAAGCGGCTGTTGGGGATCAAAGACTGGGGGGACAGGGGGAACCCAGAACCACAGAGGCTGACACTGCTGGCCTGCCACCTCCCATCACTGGCCACAGCAGCTCTGCTCCCACTGGAAGCTCGTTTTGCCCTAAATCTGCTCCTTCTGCTCCCTGGTCACAGAAGGTGCTGGCGAGGCCTGGGAGAGGCAGGGCAGCAGGGAAAGTTGTCCTGGCAACCCAGGAGGCTTGTCAGTGTTTCCATCCCCGGGAGCGCCCGGGACGGAGGTCTGCTCTTGCCTAAGTGGCTGATCCAGAGGAGCCTCCCAGAATGGCAGCCGGGCTGGGCTGCCGGGCCTCCTGCTGCTGGGCTGCTCTGTACGGCAGGCCTGGCTCCTGCCAATGAACACCCCCCCTCACCACCACCACCACCGGGGAGGGTCTGGGGAGGGCAGTCAGGAGCAGGAGGGGCACAGCTGTCCTGTAGGTGGGTCTCTCACTGCAGGACCTGGCGGTTCTTGGCTCCCTCACAGATAACACCAGAAAGACCTCGGAGGTCAGCTAAGGAGGGCGCCACCTCACCTGCCTCTTGGAGAAAGTGTTGAGTGTTTAAGAACCTTTTGGGGGCGGGGCTGGAGCAATAGTACAGCAGGTAGGGCGTTTGTCTTGCACACACCCGACCGGGGTTCAATCCCTTGCATCATCTCATGTGGTCCCCAGAGCACCACCAGAAGTAATTCCTGAGCATCGCTGGGTGTGACTCGCCCAAGAAAAAGAGAACCTTTTGGGGATGTATTAATTCTGGGCATCACTAGGTGCAAATCCCAAACAAAATCAAAAAGAGCCTTTCCGGGGAAGCACACAGGACCCTTCAACTTCTTCCCATGGCTGGGAGATGTGGGGGGCTGACACAGAGAAGGAACCAGCACCAAGACCTCTGTGGATATTCTTCGCAGCTGTGAGGAGGATGGGGAGGGGCCTCAGGGATGGCTCGCCATGGGCCTCCCGGTGGCCCCTGTGCCCCCTCCTGCCCAGGGAACCCCTTCAGAGTCTGGGCGCCTGGAGCAGCATCTGGGCATCCCAAAGGCCACCCTGGCCAGAAGCGCCGAGTCCCAGGCCCCCGTGCTCTGCTTTTCAGACCAGCCCAGTGAAATCAATCCTAGCCATTCCCATTCGGGCTCACGACCATTTAATTTCTTTGGTGGTCTGAGAGGGGGATCAAAGGACTAATCATGGAAACAACAAGGTGGAAATTGGAACTGATCTCAGGATCTAAGCCATCCTCAGGCGCGGAGGGTCACAGTGACTTTCACCGGAGACCCGGCGGGCCGAGCATGCGGGAAAGGACCCCTTTTCAAGGTTCACCGGGTGGTGGGGGGCGGGGGCACCTCTAGGTGCCGGGCTCCCCTCGCCCTTCCATGTGGCTGCTCTTCCGGTGGTTCCACATCTCGTTCTCCAGCCGCAGGCGCTGGTTTTCAGTCCGCAGCCGCTCCACCTCGGCAGCCAGCGCCTCCACCTGCCGGCAGGGCTGGTGGCCAGCAGCGCCCCGCAGCTGCTGCAGCCGGTGGGTCTCCTCCTCGGCCTGCGAGAGGCGCCGCTCCAGGTCCAGGTAGTCGCGCACCAGCTCCTGCTTGCTGCGGCCCTGCAGGCTCTCGGCGTGGTAGCGCTCGTAGGCCTCTGAGAAATCCCTCTGCTGGAACTCGCCGTGGGCTGGGCCGTGCCCGTCGCTGTCTCCCGCCTCACTGTCCCCGCTGGAACCCGGGTGCGAGGCCCCGTGGGGCACGTCCAGGTTGGGCTCCTCCGGGTCTCGGTCGTTCATGAGGAACTGCGTGGTGTTGTAAGGGGCCACGGGCTGGCCCTTGGCGAACATTTCCTCGCGCACCCGGGAGGCCCGCTGGCCCTGCCACTCGTCCCGCTGCTGCTTCTCGGCCCAGCTCAGCTCCAGGTAGGGCCGCCAGTGGCGCTTGCGCTTTGTCGGCCTCCGCCGGTGCTTCTTCCGGCCCAGCACGGCCTCCACTGAGCTGCCCTCTGGGCTCTGGGTCCTGGAAGCCTGGCAGTCCCCACCCGGGGCACCACCTGCTCCAGTGCCATCGTCTTCTTCTGAGTGGCTGTCCAACTGGGGTGTCTGGGGCAGGGAATCGCCAGGGTCACGAGACTCGGGGGGAGTCTGGGGGCTCCCAGGAACACCAGAGGTCTAAAGAGAAAGGATGAGGAAGATGGCTCACAGAGGACCTTGCCTGGTGGTGAATCCTTCCCTGTCCACCAGCCGGAAGCCAACCCTCCTACACATCCCGCCAACGTGGCACACCCCGCCAACGTGGCACACTCCACTAATGTGGCACACCCAGTTAACATGGCACACTCTGCTAACGTGGCACACTCCAGTAACATGGCACACCCCTGCTAGTAAGGCACACTCCGCTAACGTGGCACTCTCTCTGCTAACATGGCATACCCAGCTAACGTGGCACACCCCTGCTAATAAGGCACACTCTGCTAAAGTGGCACTCTCTCTGCTAACATGACATACCCAGCTAACGTGGCACACCCCGCTAATATGGTACTCTGCTGCTAATATCACACATTTCATTAACGTGGTATACCCCACTTACCTGGCACTCTAACACGGCACACTCTACTAACGTGGCACACCCACCTAACATGGCTTCTCTCTAGTCTCTCATGCTTCTGCTATCATTGTTTATAGGCTGTCTTGTCTATTCCCAACCCTCCCCAAGCAAACTCTTGGTGACAGCTGTAAATTTTTTTTGGGGGGGGTGACTCTATCTGGTGATGCTCAGGGCTTATTCCTGGCTCTTTTCTCAGGGCTCCCTACTGGAGGTATTTGGGGGACCATATGTGGTGCTGGGATCAAACTGGGGCTGGCCATACGTAAGGTGAGCACCGTAGCACCTGTACTGATCTCTTCAACCTCAACAGTCCTCAGAGGTGGTGCTGGGGGGCCATGCGACATCAGGGATCCCAACCCTGAGCTTCCACTTGATGGTAGGAATTGTCCCTGTAGAAATCTGACAGTAGGATTCTGACCCTGTGATTTCAAAGCCTAGAATTGTATCTGGTACCAAGCAGACATCCAGTAAAAGATGTTTGAATGAATGAGTCAAAGGAGGAAACCAGGATGGTGAAGGGTTCCTGATGCATCTGTTTGATCAGAAGCCCTAAAGGCACTTGACTTCTCCGAAATTTTCCTAAAAAGTTTGTCTTTCAGGTCAGGGAGGTGGCTCAAATGGCTGAGAACAGGTTTTGTATGTGGGAGGCCCTGGTTCAATCATCATCATAGCCAGGTCCCCTGAGCAGTGCCTGGAGCAACCCCCAAGCATAGGGTCAGGAGTAGCCCCCAAAACCAACATCTGTGGCCCAAGACCCTCACCCCAGAAACAAAAGCTTATCTTTGGGGCTGGACTGATAGTCCAGTGGGGAAGGCATTTGTCTTCCCAGGTTTGATCCCCGGCATCCCATATGATCCCCTGAGCACTGCCAGGAGTAATTCCTGAGTGCTGAGCCAGAAATGATCCCTGAGCATCGCTGGGTGTGACCTAAGAAGAAAAAAAAAGCTTATCTTTAGCCAGAGCTCCAGGCTGGTCACAGGGCCAAGCTATGCTCAGAGGGGGCCCTGCACACTGCTGTCACTGCCTTCAATTTCATGGTAATCTTTAACTCGCAGCGCTTTGCACCGAGGCTCAAAATGAAGCCAACCCTACCTGCAGCAACCACCGGGGACAACTCTTTTTCCTCCTTTAAGGCTTGTTCCCTCCCTAGCCACCCCATCTGAAGCAGCAGCCTCCTCCCCTTTGCAGACTCCCTGCCGTGTGACACAGCTAAGGTCCCAGGCAGCCCTCACCTTGTCACCACTGACCACACCACGTCTCTCCCTGCCTCCAGTGAGAAGGGGGCTGATCTGCTCTGCCCCTCTACAGAGCTCAAGAGAAGCATCCAACAAATAACCGCAGGAGGCAAATGCCCTGAGAGAGGGGCATCCCGAGGGTCCTGGAGGAGTCTCTGTTCTGTCATTCTAGGATACAGGACACGGAGTACAGCTATCCCAGGCACAAGCTGGGGTCCAGGGAGAGAACTTATAGCATCTAAGCACAAACCTGGCATGCACGAGATATTGAGTTTGATCCTCTGTACCCCATAGTACCCCAAGCATCACTAAGTACAGCCCTGGTGTCTCCAAATAGTATTGTCCCTCCCCAAAAGAAGTTGGTCTCCCCCTTCTTTTTATTTATTTATTTTTGGGTCACACCTGGCAATGGTCAGGGGTTACTCCTGGCTCATGCACTCAGGAATTACTCCTGGCGGTGCTCGGGGGGGTCCATATGGGATGCTGGGAATTGAACCCAGGTCGGCTGCATGCAAGGCAAACGTCCTACCCGCTGTACTATAGCTCCAGTCCCTCCTCCTCCTTTTTGAGCGGCAGGAAAGAGACCCTCATGGAGGGAAGCTTCAACTTCCAGTCCAGAGCCTTGGGAATGCTGGGATTCCTCTTCAAAATAGAAAGGTCTGTCTGGGCCAGAGCAATAGGACAGCGGGGAGGATATTTGCTTTGCATCCCATATGGTCCTGTGAGCAGCAACAGGAGAAATTTCTGAGAGCAGAGTCAGGAGTAACCCCTGAGCACTGCTGGGTGTGACTCAAAGAAGAAAAAAAAAGGGGTGTGTGAAGGGACTGTGTGTTTGGGCATCTGCTTATCTGTGGTGGGAGCTGGGAGCTGGGTGTGGGGAATAGGGAATGAGTTGCTCTGTTTGTGGTTTGGGGGAATGCTAATAATAACTACTACAACTAGGATGTTTCCTAAAGTGCCACAGGGCTCGAGACTTCTAGTGAGGGTTCACACGAGCATAGAGCGCGTGTTTGGAGAGGCATGTGGCCTCTGATGTTTTGTGTTTTGTTTTTTTCTTCAGTTTTTGGGTCCCACCCAGTGCTCAGGGATTGAACCTGGGTTAGTGGCATACAAGGCAAGAACCTTGCCCACTGTACCATTTCTCTGACCTCCTTTTTTGTTTTCAGTTTTGGGGCCACACTCAACAGTGCTCAGGGCTTACTCCTGATTCTGCGCTCAGGAATCACTCCTGGCAATGCTCAGAGGACCATATGGGATGCCAGGAATCGAACCTGGGTTGGCTGCGTGCAAGGCAAACAATGAACTACCTCTCCACTCCTTAGGGGTTACTTCTGGCTCTGCACACAGGTATCACTCCTGGAATGCTCATCCCATACTGCTGGGACTGTATGGGATGGCCATGATTAAAGCCAGGTTGGCTGTGTGCAAGGTAAGTGCCCTCCCTGCTGTACTATCTCTCTGGTGGCAGGAAGCCTCTTAGAGAGGAGTCTCTTAGAACTGAAACTGCATGTGCTTTTATTTATTTTGGCTTTTTTGGGATCACACCCAGTGATGCTCAGGGGTTACTCCTGGTTCTCCACTAAGGAATTACTCCTGGAGGTGCTCAGGGGACCATATGGGATGCCGGGAATTGAACCCAGGTCAGCCACATGCAAGGCAAATGCTCTCTCCACTAGATTTATGGCTCCAGTCCCTGGAACTGCATGTGATTTAGAGACATGCAGTTCCTGTCATAGTTTGGGATGGACTATGCTGGGGCATCTGTGTGGTTCATTGTGAGGTACTATGAGTTCACCTGCAGGGAGATCATCTATCAAGAGCATCTGATCTTGTCTCTTACCAGCTGTGTGAGTCACCCTCGACAGGACTTCTGCCTGGTACTTAATAGAGGCCAGGCCTCTGGGAACCCTGAATCTGGGTGGTGTCTATACAGTATCATCCTTCAGATGCTCCCAGCCCTCAGCCATCTTGTATTTATTTTTGTTTATGAGCCATATCTGATGATGCTCAGAGGTTACTCCTGGCTCTGCACTCAGGCATAATTCCTGGTAGTGCTCAAGGGATCGTATGGGATGCTGGGAATGGAAGCCAGGTCAGTCTTGTACAAGGTGAGCTCCCTACCCACTGTACTATCTCTCTGGCCCCCAAAATTTATTATTTATATATATGTGTGTATATATATACGTATATACACATACACACTTGTTTGGGGGCCACACCCAGCAGTGTTCAGGGGTTATTCCTAGCTCTGAACTCAGAGATTTCTCCTGGTGGTACTCATGGGACTATATGGGATAAGGGGAATTAAACCTAGGTCAACAGCATGCAAGGCAAGTGTCTTACTTGCTGTACTATGGCTCTGACTCCAAAGTTAGCTTTTTGGGGCCAGAGCAATAGTACAGTGGGTAAGATGTCTGCCTTGCATACTGCGCACCTGTGCTTGATCCCTGGCATCCCATATGGTCCCCTAAGCACTGCCAGGAGTAATTCCTGAGTGCAGAGCTAGGAGTAAACCTTGAGCATCGCCGGGTATGACCTGAAAAGAAAAACAAAAAAGACCAAGTTAGTATTTTTTTACTATCTTCTCATGAAGAAACCCCAGGCCCAGGTCATCCACCTCACTTGGTTTGGTGGAATTCACAAGGGAAGCAGATGAACCTGGGCTTGAAGTTTCCTCCTGGGAAGATTATTACAGATTCACCTCTGAAAAAATAGATGTGAGGCTATTCCACTGATCTCTTTTTTCTTTTTCCTTTGTTTTTTGGAACACACCTAGTGGTGCTCAGGGCTTATTCCTGGCTCTGCGTACAGGGGTCACCTCCTGGTGATGCTTGGGATGTGGAGGATCCATATGGGATGCCAGGGACTGAACCCCAGTCAGCCGCACGCAAGGCAAATGACCTACCTGCTGGCCCACTGCTCCAGCCCAGCCCCAGCCATCTTTCCCCCTAGCTTAGCCAGCCTCCCTCTGGGCCTACCGTGCTCGCTCCTTTTGTAAGCCTGGCCTGTGCCCACCTACTGTAGATCACCCATATAATTTGGATGAGTCATTTGCTCTGTCTGATACATCTACTCCTGAAGTGAACTCTAAAGTTTAAAACACCAAGAAGCACTGGAAGTGGCTCTGCAGGCTGAAGTGGAGATGCTGAGTTCCCCTGTCACCTCTAAGGGACTGTGGACCAGGCAGGACAGGCAGTAATCCTGCAGGCTTCCAGAGGTCAGATCAGAAGATGAAATTATCCAAGCACTGACACATAAATGCTTCTCCTTTTGGGGGCACAGGCTCCCCCCATCCCAAATTAGGAACCCTTTGTTTACTTTCTTCTCCCAAGTGAAGGCTGGGTTCTCAGCCTGGACAAAATGCAAATATTCAACCAAGTTCTTTGTTTTGTTTTGTTTTGGGGGGGTCCACCTGGTAGTACTCAGGGCTCATTCCTGGCTCTGTGCTTAGTCATCCTGATGGATTGGGGGGGGAACCATATGAGGTGCTTGGGATTGAAGTTAGGTCAGCAATGTGCAAGGCAAGCACCCTACCCACTGTGTTTTGGTTTTTGTTTGGGGGCCACATCCAGTTGTGCTCAGGGCACCATATGGGGTGCTGGGGCTGGAACCCATGTAGGCCTTGTACAAGGCAAGCACTTTACCGGCTGTACTTTGCTGGCCCCCTACACTGTATTTTGTCTCTTTCGCCTAGTGCTTTGATCTAGGGAGAACTGCATTCTGCTGTCAGAAGCCCCAAGTTTCACCTTAGTTGGTTGCTGGCTGGCTGCATGCAAGATGCCAGAAAATGATGCTTTAGCTCTCTGAACTTCTCCCCTTTGAAATGGAAAAAGAGAATTCCTACCTGGGAGGGTTACTAGGATTTCCCAAGTTAGCACAGATTTATCTGGGCATCTGGCACCCGCCAGGTGCAGGAGCCATTTCAAAAGGTTTTCAGCTCCACCATCACAGGGGAGACAAGAAGTCAGGGCCCCAGGGGCAGGCGAGGCACCGGGGGAAGGGCCCCGGGGAGGGCGAAGCTTACCTTGACCTTCTCCAGGGCTGCAGCTGGGCGGTAACAACTGGTCTGGTTCCGAGTGGGCCCCTTCTTCTGGTCCCAGGCTTCCGCAGAGACCTTTAAGTAGGGACACCTGCTTTAAACAACAACAGACAGCTAAGTGGCTCGGGAGAGCGCCCGCCGCGGCTCCCCGGGCCTGGCCTCTGCAGCAAGGGGGAGCAGCCATTTTGTGGCACTGCACAGCCTCCCTCCAAACGCAGGCCCGGACAGCGGGCCGGCCTGCACGCCCCTGCCGTCCACACCTGCGGCCCCCAGGGAGCCAGGTGGGGGATGGCGGGAGCCTCTTCCCGGGCCGGTTCCTCAGGCCCCAGGCCAGGGCTTCCTGTGCATCCTGTTCTGGAGGGCCCTGAACCCGGCTTGGCAGCCAGGCCCAAGCTTTGTCTCCCCCATGAGCCAAGCGGGGGAAGGAAGGAGGCCGCCCGCGGGGCGGGGGGCGGGGTGGGGGGCAGCTGCGAGGAGGAGGCAGCAATGACCAGGAGAGGTTGGGAGCTACCAGCGGCTGCGAAGAGAAAACAGGGAGCCCGGGGAGGAAGCACTTTCCCACGGCCTCCTGCAGCACCCCCCACCTCCTCCGAGGCGGCGTCGGTGCTTTGAGGAACACGGCCTTCTCCTCTGCAGAGCCTGGCCTGCCCTCCCTCCTCTGGCCGGGAAACCAGAGAAGCGGGGCACGGTATTCACACTCCATGCAACTGCGAGGGAAACCCCACTGAGATCGAGCTGGGTTCCTTGGAAGAGGGGAAATGATCCGGGAGGCAGGATTTGCAAAGGCGGAACTGACCTATTTGTCGTCAAGGGCTATGCCCACGACTACATCTGTGTGTCTTTCTGTGCGATCGCCTGTCTGCAATTCCCACCGCCTCAGCCCTACCTCCCGCTGCAGTGGCAGCAGCTCAGCCCCAGTCACTCAGGCACCGAGGTTGGGGGAGGGGGGACCAGCTTGGGAGCGCGGTGCCTGCTGGGAACTGTAGTTCTCTTAGCCGGGAAGGCCGAGCGAGACCCCGTCACAACCACAGCGCCCATGGAGAACTCCAACACCCACTTCCCCTTGCGCGGGGGGCGACCCGCGCTCACCACCGCCTGCTCTAATAGGCCAACTCGCCTGCCAATCACGCCACTCTCGTCCACGATTCGCTGTGCGGAAGCACAACTTGAACCGCCTCTCCGAGCTCGATTAAAAAGAGTTCATTGAAGTCGGTAATCCTTACGGGGCGGGAGCTAGGTCCGGCTGAGGGGGCGGGGCTTGGGCGCGGAGGGATCCCGGGCCCTAGAGGAAGGCGACGAGGTGATCGGTGGCCGCCGCCGCCATTTTGGGCTGGGAGGAGGCAGCGGAGGGACTCGCTGCGCAGTGAGAGCACCCCATGGGGGGTGGTCCGGGCGCGGGGAGAGGCCGGGCCGAGAGGGCTGCCTGAAGTGGCGGCGCCGGGAGACAGCGGGGAGTGGGCTCGGGGCCTGGGACGAGGGCGGTGGGGTGACGACGGTCGGAGTCTCCCCGGCCGGGCCCGGTCCTCAAACCGTCTCGGCAGCCCCGCAGCCCGGCCTCGGACAGAGGGCGTGGTTCCGGGGCAGAGACCGCGGGGGTCGTGTCCCGAGGCTCCCGTGGGGGGCGAGACGGGGTGGATCGTCTCCCCGCCGGCCCCCCGATGCCGAGAACGGGCGCTCCGAAGTTCTTTCCCCGCCCCCCTCCGGCCCGGGCCCGGCGGCGAGACCCGGAGTGGCGGGGTCCCCCGCCCCCCCCCCGGGGCGTGCGAGCTGGTGACGACGCCCTGGGGGAGGACAGAGGGACCTTTTTCGGTGGCACAGCAGCCCCCGGGGTTGCTGCGAGGGCGGAGAGCCCGGGGCGAGCCCCCCACCCCGAGGCGCCGGACCTCAGCATCACGCTGGGGGGTAAGGGGCACTGCAAAGGGTCACAGTGCCCCTCCCCGAAGGTCGACTCCCAGGGGATGGGCTTGGAGGAGGGTCGTTCCTTGGGGTTTTGTTTTGCCCCTTCTAGGGTAGAGCACCAAGTGACTTGCGAGTGGTCATGGCCCGGGGAATAAAGGTGCGTGGCCCCGTGCGGGTGCCTCAGAAAAACGTGTTTACGTGTTGAAATGAGAGCCTTGACTCGGCTGCACTCCCGGAGGACCCAAAACCCCCGCACCAGTGTGATTTTCCTAAGAGCCCCAGTTCCTCCCAGTTTAAGGAGTTCTTCCTCCCACCAATAAACCAGATGGGAGTGGTTTAGCCAGTGGGGCCTTGTTCCTGGGGAATCTCTATTTTGAAGTGCTAAGTAATTGGAGTCCCGTCTGTGTGCCCTAGATGACACCGAAATAGAAGCTGCCCGATCCCCTCTGCCCTGGTGGCAAAGGCCATTGGGGAAGCCGCAAGAGGGAAAAAGCCACACTCAGTCTTGCGTTGCAGTTGTAGCCCCTAAAGGTTGGAGCTCTTTTCCTGATGCGAAAGAGTAAGCAAGCCATCCTGTTTTCTCCAGCTATAAATCCAAATTCAGATTTACAGCTCAGGGAGGTCTGAGTTTTCTTTTTTTTTTTTTTTTTGTTTTGCTTTGTTTTTTGTTTTTGGGCCACACCCAGTGGTGCACAAGCTTTACTCCTGGCTTAGGGATCACTGCTGGCAATGCTTAGGAGACCATATGGGGAGCTGGGGATTGAACCCCGGGTCAGTTGAGTGCAAGACAAACGCCTTACCCATAGTTACAGCTTGGGGCCCGGTGTCTGAGTTTTGTGACTGAAATGTCAGTCAAATGATGCCCAGATACTGTCGTAAGGGAGTGGCCAGGGAACATGATCTCTGAAGGTACCTTGTGATGGAAGGGCATGGCTAACTCAGCTTAATCATACCTGAGCTTCGTGTGGCCTAAGTAGTAAGAACCTTGAGTCTTCCCAACCGAAGTCCTGTTCCTTCTGTTCATGAATAAAATCAGTTGTTCAATAACCTGTTTTCTGACCCTGCCCTCCCCAAAAGTTCCCAGAGAAAGTTGAAATTGAGTTGCAGAAGTGTGGTTACCCTAGACTGGTTTTGAATTCAAAGTCAGAACCACCTGCTTCGGGGAGCTTCAGTGCGCTGACTTTGGATTCATTTTCTCAAGTTCCCTTGCAGTGGGCTGCAGATCAAGAGAAGATGCAAGTTAGGAGACGCCCAGGCTGCCTTGGCATAGGAGCCTATGGGGTTGCTTTATGAAAGGGGCTTTAAAATGGGCTCTGAGGTTCTTTAGTCAAGAGTAATGGAGGATCCCAGACATCCATTATAAAATGATGTAGTTAAGGATGTCACTAATGGAGAATACTGCACCTAGAAGTTGGAGTATAGGTACAGAAATTCAGTACTTAAAAAAGTACTTGAGTAATTTTTAAGATTAGTTCATAAGTTACTCTGTTCTTTACTTACTAAGTTAAATTAGGGATCAGACCAACTTTTAATGGCCCCTTGGTTATCTCCTGTGCAAAACAGGTCTGGAAGTTAGGAACTCAAAGTTCTGTTTCTGTGTGCTACCACAACCTGATTGGCTTGGCTAGAGGCCAAATCCGGGAGATGTGGCCAAACTGGTCGCTTTGTTGCTGAGTCTCTTGTTCATCTAATGTTCAACCAGACCTTCAACTTCCTCTTCAGCAGTCCCCTTTCAAATGAGGTGCTTTGTGGTTTATGACAAATTCTACAAACCCTATATGCCTCAGTTTCCTAATTTGAAAATGGTATCCTTGCTACCTCCCTCATAAATGCCGGGAGGAGTAACCATTCTAGCTATGTAAACATTTACTTGCTGGAACTTCATTCTTTGGGAACTTTAGAGCTTCTGCTTCAAAGGTTATTTGGGGCGTTTGGGAGGCCTGCCTTATTGAAGTGTGGAGTGGTTGCCCCTGGCAGCGCAGAGGACAGCCATCCAAACAGGCTCAACGAAGCTGTTTCTCAGGGTACCAAGTAGTTGTTACTCTGAAGGCCTCGGAAGCTTACAGCCTGAAGGCTGGTTTCTGGGCCCCTGTGTCTGTATAGCATTCACAGAGAGGCTGGAGTGATTCTTGAAGATGCTTGCACTCAACTCTCTGATTTCCATAGTTAATCAAATCGTTATTCTCTGTTCAGCTCTCATCATCTACCTTCTTTATTGTTTCAAGTTCAGATGTTAGATGTTCACTGTTCTATTAAATACACTTTTAGTGGGGTCAGAGATAGTACATCGGCTAGGGTGTGACTGATGTGGGTTAGATCTCTGTCATCCTATATGGTCCCCCAGGCACTGTCAGGAGTAACCCCTGAGCACCATCGTGTGTGATTCTCCCTCTCTGCCCCCCAAAAAACTTTATAACAGAGAAGATGGACTTTTTTTTTCTTTTTGGGTTACACCTGGCGGTGCACAGGGGTTACTCCTGACTCATGCACTCAGGAATTACTCCTGGTAGTCCTCGGGGGACCATATGGGATGTTGGGAATTGAACCACGGTCGGCCATGTGCAAGGCCCTACCCTTCCCGCTGTGCTATCTATTGCTCCAGCCCCAGAAGATAGAAAACTAAAGAAATTTTCTTTCCAGAAGAAAATTTACTTAAGTCTCCAGAACAGTGTTTTGGAGTTATCTGTACATGCATGATTTTTATATTTGGGGGTTTTAGGCCATACCAAGCTCTGCTGAGGCTTATTCCTGACTCTACTTAAGTGTCTCCTGGTGGGGCTTGAAAGACAGTGCCAGGAATCAAACCTACTTCATCTGCATGCAATCAGGGATCACGCCTGGCAATGTTCTAGGGCCCCTGCAGTGCTGGGGTCAAACCTGCTTAGCCGCATGCAAGCCAGTGCTTTGCCCACTGTGCTCTCTGTGGCCCCAATAATTATATTTAAAGCAGACTGCAGAGCTTCACACTGGTAACCAGAGAGATAGTATAGAGGGTTAGCCAGTTGCCTCGCACATTGCTGACCCAGCTTCAATCCCTGGAACTGAGCCCTACCAAGAGTGATCCCTGGGTGCAAAAGCTTAATGAGCCCTGAGTATTGCTGGGTGTGGCCAAAAAACAATTTAACATTATCACCATGAAAGATGGTGTGTGAGAGAGGGAGAGCTGGAGATTGAACGAACACATACCTGTGCTTGCTCACTGAGCGACATCCTTGACCAACCCATGCATTTGAACATCTCACACAGCCCATAGACACATGGACACAGCGCCATTGAATATGACTGCAGATCTGAGTTTACAGTTCCTTTTGAATTATTTCTCCTCAAGAAAAATCCTTCTAAATCAAACATAACTGCTCTTAGTGCTATATTTAGAGAAAGATCACTATCAATTTCAAAGGATTTTGTTTTGTTTTTGTCTACAAGTTGTGGTGGCCAGGGCCTGCTCCCAGCTCTGTGCTCTTGGCAGTGCTCAAGGAACCCTGTGGTGTGGGAGATGGAACCCAGGACTCCAGTGTGTAGAGCATTTGCCGAACTCTGAGTTCAATCTCCCACGCCTATTTCGGACTTGCCGTTAGTTTCCAGTAGCAGCTCAACCATTTCAAAGAACTTGATTGCAAACTGCTGGGATTGTTTATGCTTTGTTGTTAAATCTTTTGCCATAATTGGACCATCTCTAAGTAAAACCCAAGAAGAAGTTTATTTGGGAGGATTTGTGAGAGCTAATTTACCTTTCTCAGTTTTATTTTTGTATTTGGGCCACACCCAGTGATGCTCAGGGTTACTCCTGGCTTTACACTCAAGAATTGCTGCTGGTGGTGCTTGGGAGACCATATGGGATTCCCAGGATTAAACCTGGCTTGGTCACATGCAAGGCAAGTGTCTTCCCGCTCGCTGTACTATCACTCCGGCCGTTAGTTGCCTTTCTAAGTCTTCCCTTCCTTTCCTTTAGTTCCCTCATTAATAGAATGAGATTGTGAGCTTTCCAGTATTCAAAGACAATTGGCAAAAAAAAATTGACCCAAGGTTGAAACTTTGCTTCCTAGACTTTTTTGTCCCAGTTGAGAAGTATGGCTATTATTTTTTGGCACACTCAGCTGTGCTCAGGTCTTACTCCTAAATCTGTACTCTGGGGTCACTCCTGGTAGTGTTGGGGGACTATATATGGTGCTGGGAATCAAATCAGGTCAGCTGTAAAACAAGAACCTAATCTCCTTGGCTCCATGGCAATTCTTTGTGCCCTCTGATTAGCAGATCCTGCTGTGTTAAGGGCCTGAATTTTAAATTATTCCTTTATCAAATTTCCTCTCCAACTGCTGTTTGTATTTGACATGAGAAATAGTAAAGTAAAATTTTATTCCAGTGATTTAAATATTCACTGTATCACTGTCATCTTGTTGTTCATCAATTGACTCGAGCGGGCACCAGTTACGTCTCCATTCGTCCCAACCCTGAGATTTTAGCAGCCTCTCCTTACTTGTCTTTCCCAATGATGACCGTATTGGAGGCTTTTTCAGGGTCATGGGAATGAGACCAGTTATTGTTACTATTTTTGGCATATCGAATACGCCATGGGTGGCTTGCTAGGCTCTGCTGTGCGATTTAAATATTAAATATGAAAAATAATTAAACCCATTATCCCACAGTGTACCTAAGTATAAGTACTGTGTTAACTGTAGCCAACTTTTGTACCCCAATATTTATTACTAACTGTTGCAGTGGATTGTAAGTGGCCAAGAGAACACCTGTGGTACAATACCTAATGTTTGGTTAAATTTAACTTGTCCTGATTTTTTGAAGATAGATTGTGCAATATGGTTATATTTTTTCTATATGTTGATGCTTATCTTACTGGTTTCTCTGACTTTTGAAATAATTAGGGTAAAGTATATTTACATTTCCTAGACAAATTTTTTTGGGGGAGTCACACAATATCAGATCAGTGTTCAGGGGGGTCATGAGGTACTGAGGATTGAACCTAGGACTCTCACTAGCAAAATATCGTCACCAGCCCTTTGAGCCATCTCCCTGGTGGAGCAAGGGATTTTGCTTGTTGGTGTACAGGGGCTACTCCCAGAGGGGTGCTCAAGGGACTCTGTGGTACCAGGGATCAAACCTGGGCTTTCCACATGCAAAGCATGTGCTTAGCCCATTGAGCTCATCCCTTCTCCCCCATCCTTGCCCTTTATCATGTTACTGTGTTCTGAAGTAAACATCATATTAACCGAATGGACCACCTCCTGTGATTAAGAACCAGTCAGCAGTTGGGCAGGTGATATAGCTCAGTGGTAAAGCACATGTCTTGTATGTATGTATTGTATGAGACCGAGATTTGATTCATGATACTTTTTGTTTTGGGGCCACACCTGACAGTGCAAAGAGCTTACTCCTGGCTCTGTGCTCAGGGATCTCTCCTGGCTGACTCAGGAGACCACACAGGGTTCTGGGGATTGAACCTGGGTTAGCTGTGGGCAGGGCAAGCACCCTATCCTCTGTACTCTATCACTCTGCTCCCTCATTCCTAGTACTATTAAAAAACAAAACAAGACATGAAGAACCAATACTCCTATCGTAGTGTCTTTAGTGTAATACAGTTTCATGCAGTCTTGTTTAATCCAAGTCCCAGTTGTGAAGTATACCTATTACTTTTAGCCATACTTATAACAGCTAAATGGTCCTGGCCTTTTTTTGGGGGGGGGGGGAGAGGTCACACCCAGAGATGCACAGGGGACCATATGGGATGCTGGGAATCGAACCTGGGTCGGCTGCGTCAAGGCAAATGCCCTACCCGCTGTGCTATTGCTCCAGCCCAGTCCTGGTTTCACTGATTATGAATGAGGTTCTGAGACTGTGTTCTGAGACGTGTTCAGGGTTATATTGTTAGTATGGAGTAAAGGTATGATTAGGGCGCTGGTTTTCTGACTCCTGGTCTGGTCTGATCTTTGTTTCCTATGGACAGTCTGTTCCCAGCTGGGTGTTCAGGAAGCAGGCAATGCCAGGGAATGAACCTGGAGCTCCCATATGCCAAGGGAGCTCCATATCTGTGAGCCATTGCCCCAGCCCCTTCCTAGTCTTATTTTTTCCTTAACTCCTGGAGTTCACCAGCTTCTTTCCACAAATTGAAATCTAAAAGTTTCTACTCTCTGTGGGATGTTTTATATTTTCATAGTGTTGTACCCTCTCACCCCCCAGCCGCAAAAGTTTTCCTTATTGAAAGGATTTAGTTGTCCAGTCTTGGGAGACAGTTTGCTCTTGCTGGATACTTAGTCCCAATATGAGAAAGTACAAATTCATATTGCCTATGTGTCGGCCTAGATTTTTGAGCAGTATAGTTAAAATGTCTGATGAAGAAGACCTGAGAGACTAGAGTGGCCATGAAGACCATTGTCATCACAGCTCTCTGATAATGTACGTGACTCAGACTGGCTGGAGAGCAGTATGCTTTTCAAGTGTTTTAGTGTGGATAAAAAGAGATTTCAGGGACTTGGAGAGAGAACAGCGACTGAGGTGCTCACCTTGCACACAGCCGACCTGGGTTCAATCCCTTGCATCCCCTCGAGCCCCCGGAGCACCACCAGGAGTGATTCCTGAGCACAGCCAGGAATAAGCCCTGAGTATTGCCAGGTATGGCCCCCAGAACAAAAATATTAATAATATTCATATTTTAATGAATAAAAGGTGAAATTTCACATAAGCCTCCTCATTCTAAGGGAAAAAATGCAATTAAAATTTATTTTTAAAAGATTGGATTGAATTTCTCTCCTAAGAGTAAAACACACATTTCGCTCCCTAATAATACGTAATCACAGAGACTTTCCAATACTAGGCACAACAATACCGTCATATGTTTTATAAAGAAGAGATTCTAAAATGAGAGGCCATCCTGGCTGCCTCCTTAGCAGAGCAGTCGCCCGTCTTCTGCTCTGCGCTGCAAAGCCAGGGGGCAGTGTCGCTGCCTCTCTGATATTTCCCTGGCTGCTGCGCTGTGATGTCATAGCAGAAAGAATAATAAAAACAGAAAATTGGATCGGAGCAACGGTACAACGGGTAGGGCGTTTGCCTTGCTGACCTGGGTTTGATCCCTGGCATCCCATATGAACCCCCGAGTAATTCCTGAGAGCAGAGCCAGGAGTAACCCCTGAATAACGCTGGGTGTGACCCCAAAAACCAAAAGGAAACAACAAAAACACGAAAGCTATTTCAAAATAGACATTTAATTTTTAGGCCATAGGGGAAAATTGATCATACATTGTCTCCAGTGGAACATCTGCTAGAATAGGGCCGGATCAGTTCAACTTTTAAAAGTCCTGACTCAGTCCTGACCAGCCTAACTTCCCTTGATTCATTGGTTTCTGCATGCTGCTTATTCATCATAAGGTGCATTTCACTTGAACTTCCCACCACCTCCACTTCCATTTAGCTGCAAAAGCATACTTATCAAGGAAAGACTTTTTTTCTTGTCCCCATAGAGCTTTTAGAATTTGACAGTATCATAGTTCTCTTGACCCCTCTCCCCAGAAAACTGTATGTAGAATTCATGGAGTTTATGGACCCCCAAGAACCCCTATGGTTTCTAAGGCCCCAAATTAAATAACTGCTGTGCTAGTGAGTTGAGCAATGCACTTGCCTTAGGGAGACAGTGGAGATTGGCTAGGAAAACATTCCTGCTAAATGGAGGGAATAATCATACATTCTTCCTATTTTTATTTAGGGGCAGAAATTAATTTCCAGGACCCACCTGAAGTAGAACTGTTCAAAAACCTAAATTCCTGGGCCAGGAATTGTGGGTCATGTTAGAGGCCTCGAGTTCAATCCCTGACACTGGGGTTTTGAGTGGTGGGGAGGAACTCTTAGCACTCTGTGAGCACAAATTTGGAATGCTGAGAAGAATGGCCCCATAGGAAGTCCCCAAGGACTTCATTTAGTTCCTTAACGAAGGGCTCAACATTTGACTTGCAAAGAGGGGTATTTCTCATTTCAGTTTGATTCAGGAAGGTGGACAGCTCCCATTCTTCTGTAGAAAGCACCTAAATTAGGCTAAATCCTTGCAGTGCCCAAACAGCCATTCTCTCTATCAATATTCCCTCCCATCTTTGTTTTGTGGGCCACACCCAGCAGTGTTCAAGAGTTAATTCTTTTTTTTTTTTTTTGCTTTTTGGGTCACACCCAGTGATGCACATGGGTTACTCCTGGCTCATGCACTCAGGAATTGCACCTGGCGGTGCTCGGGGGACCATATGGGATGCTGGGAATCGAACCCGGGCTGGCTGTGTGCAAGGCAAACACTCTACCCGCTGTGCTATTGCTCCAGCCCCTCAAGAGTTAATTCTTAGCAGACTGAGGGGACCATATGTGATGCCAGGGATTGAACCCAGATCAGCCACATGCAAGGCAAGGGCTCTACCCTCTGCACTATGGATCCAGCCTTCTGTCCCTCCCCACCCGACTTTTTTTTTTTTGCCTTTTTTGGGTCACACCCAGAGATGCTCATGGGTCACTCTTGGCTCTGCACTCAGGAATTACACCCAGCAATGCTCACGGGTCACTCCTGCCTCTGCGCTCAGGAATTACTCCTGGGGGTGCTTGGGGGACCATAAGGGATGCCAGGGTTGGCTGCGTGCAAGGCCTGCTGTGCTATCGCTCCAGCCCCACCCCCCCAACACACTTTTTTTGTCTCGTGTATCCGCAACTTTTTTTTCTTTTAACCCAGAGCCATTCACATGTAAGGCAAGTGCTGTACTGGGGAGGAAAAACTACACCCAGGCCATCTTAATATTTTATTCAGTCATTGCACTCCCCAAGAAACCAAAAAGCTCTTTAAGGCATCCAGAATACTCTGATTGGGGGAACTATTAAAACCCAGCATATGAGAATGAAGAAATGAACTGCCAAACTTTTTTATACTGATACTTCTGAATAGCCATTGAGAAGCAGTGTTTAAGCCAGGTGATTTTAGCTACTATCTACTCCCCAAACCACCCAACTCTGGTTTATTTCTCCAGCATCAAGAAAGACAAGGCACACAACTAAATATTGGAGATCATCAAACCTTTATATATTTTTGTTTTCTCTTGGGACCACACCCTGTAATCAGGGCTTACTCCTGGCTCTCTACTCAGGGATCACTCCTATAGGGACTCAAAGGACCATATGGGGTGCCAGGGATGGAAGCTAGGTGGGCCACGTACCAGGCAAGTGCCTGATGTAGTATCGCTCCAGCCCAAATCTTTGTATTTTGCCTAAAGCGAATGTTGTAGCATACTGAAATCAAAGGAAAAACTGGCAAATTAAAAACGCTCCCATTATTTTGCAGACCAACAAATACAAGTTTACACCTCCAGTGCAATCACATAAATCAGTACTATTTTAGCTCTAGAAATCACACTGAAACTAGGTTACATTTACAAATATTAAATTTATTATAACTAGAATGGATTTAATGGTTTTTAGATTTTGGCCACCTCATAGCTCCATTTAGGGAGGGTTTGTGTTTAAAACAAAATTTGCATTATAACTTGGTCAAATTACTTACACATAAAAAAAAAACCCTAAAAAAGGAAAACAAGAAAAGCAACCCTTCAGTTTCACATAATTAAAAGAACAGGAGAAAGCACGCAAGCTACATCATAGTTAAATTTGCCAAACCAACCAAAGCCATGGGGGGGATTTTTCTCTTCTGATTATGTCATAAAAAGGTTCACTGTCTTATATACACAAGTATATAATGTTACATTCCATCACTGTAAAAAGTCCCCTTTGCCCCCGCCCCCCAAAGTTTTCCCCTAGTCCCCGAACTTGGACAGCGGCGCCCGCTCCTGCTGCCGGTGCAGCTGGTTCTCGGCGAGCAGCTGGAGGTTCTCGGCGCGTAGCCGCTCCAGCTCCAGCTCCAGCTCCCGCACGCGCGCGTCCTCGCCCGGCCGCTTGCTCTCCAGCCGCAGCCGGTTGTTCTCGTCCTCCATGCGCGAGAGGCACTTCTCCAGCTCCAGGTACTCCTTGATGAGCTCCTGCTTGCTCATGTTCTGCAGGCTCTCCGTGTGGTACCGCTCGTACGTCTCCGAGAAGTCCCGCTGCAAGAACTCGCTGCCGTCGCCCCCCATCCCGTCGCTGCCCCCGTCCTCCTCACCCGCCTCCTCCATGAAGTCCTCGTCGCTGGTGTCGTCGGACTTGGCGGCGGCCCGCTTCGGGTAGAGGCCGGTCTTGAGGTCGGGCTCCTCCTGGTCGTGGTCATCCATGAGGAACTGCGTGGTGTTGTAGGGCGCGACCGGCTGGCCCTTGGCGAACATCTCGGCTCGCATCCTCGAGGCTCGCAGGCTCTGCTTCTCGTCGAACTTTTTCTTCTCCTCCCAGGTCAGCTTGTAGTAGGGCTTCCAGTGCCGCTTCTTCTTGGAGGGGCGTCTCCGGTGTTTCTTCTTGCCCAGCTGTCTCAGCTGCTGGCCCCACGCCTCGCCCCCCGCGGCGGGCGCCCCCAGCTTGCTGGCGTCGGAGTCGCGGCACGGCGGGGCCGGGGGCTGCGCCTCGGGGCTCGGCTCCCCAACCGCCGCGGCCGGCGAGGGGCCGCGCTCCCCGTTCTGGCTCCTCTCGCCCGCTTCCAGGCACGGCTGGCCCTGCAGGGGCGGCATCGCGGGCGCCCGGCTCCCCTCGCCTTCCGGCCCCGGGGGACCGCCGGGCTGGGGGGCCGCTCTCGATTGCCACCTACTGTCCTCGTCGGGCGCCCGCTCCTCCGCGCCGGGGGGGCGCTCGGGCTTCGGCTCGGCGGGCCCGGCAGCACCTGTGCAGTTGCTAGCCTGAGGCTGGGGCTGATGTTCTGGAAGGAGCGGCTCGGCCATGGCTCACGAATTCCTCGTCCCGAAGTTTGAGAAATTTTGGCTGCAAGTCCTTGGGGGGGCGGGGGGAAGGTTTTCCTTTCTTGTACAAATTGCCCCCAGCAGAGTCCTCCTCCGGTCTGTGATTCCTGCAGCGACGCCCTCTCAGAAGCCAGCCAGTCCCGTCCGCAAACTCCGGCGGCAACTTGGAGCGCGAGTCACTAAAGGGTTAAAGCACCCACGGCACGGCCGGCTAGCGGGTCCCCCGGGTGCAGCGGCAGGAGCGGTACGAAGAGGCGAAGGAAGTGGGCCTCGGGTCTCCCTGCAGAGCGCCCCCGAGCCCGAGGAGCAGGTGGGCAAGGAGGTGCGATGGTTCAGTCCAAGGGGTTAAACCCAGCCCCGAAGGGGTTAAAACTACCCGATGACGCTGCCGCCGAGGGGCCGAGCCCACAAAGGGTTAAATCCCCTACCGCAGAGCCCACAAGGGGTTAAAGTCCCAAAGCCGCCGCCTCCCACTTCCACGGGTGTCGCTCCAGCCCGAGCTCCCAGTTCCCTAGGCCCGGCCGGAGCCTCAGCCGAGGATAGACAAACTCATCTCCCCTCTGGCTCGATGCTCTGCTCAGCTCCGCGCTCCTCCGCCTCCTCCTGCCTCCCTCCCTCCTCCCCTCGCCGCCGGCGCCTCTTCCGCCTCCTCCCCGGCTCCCCTTCCCAACCTGCCGCTCCACCTGCCAACTTCCAACTGCTGCCTCCCAGCCCTCGGCGCCCCTTTTATAGGGAAGACGCCCCGCCCCGCCCGGGCGCATGCGCAGCGCCGTGTCCATGGCAGGGCGCTGGGAGTCGTAGTCCCCATCCTCCAGGCCCGCCGTCCCCGCGCGCCTGGAGACGTGGCCAATCCCGGGACGCGTCGGGGGCGTCCTCCAGGCCGCCGCCGCCCAGCGCAGCGCCCCCGCCGGGGGAGCGTGCGCGGCGATTGGCCGGGAGGCGCGCGTGCCAGCGAAGGAGGCGGGCCAATGGCGGGGCGCGGGGCGGGCTCTGGACCGTACCATTCCGCTCCAGGAATCCCGAGAGATTCCAGGGCCCGGGAGCGCCCGCGCAGCGCATTTTCCGGGGAAGGTGCGTGTCAAAGCCCGTTCTCGGGTTCCGTCCCGAGCGGGGGAGTTCCGAAGGCCGTACGCACTCGCTAACCAAAGTAAAAGTGGTTCACTCCTAAAAAGTAGTCCCTAGGTGTAAAAGTATTGAATTCCCCAGAGCGAGGGACCGGCCCCTGGCCTGTAGCTCTGGATTCTGAAGATGCCAGAAATGGCTTCAAGGTGCGCGGCGAGGGCCTGGGACAGACCCTCGCGGAAGGATACCGGGCCATACTTTGTAAAGCGAAGAGCGCAGGAAGAAGTAAACAAATGAAGAGGAAAAAGTGCCGCCTTAAAGGAACCGCGGGGTGGCGCGGGCGCCGCCGCCTGGGGTGGGCCCTGGAGGACGCGCGCGGCAGGTTCGAGGCCCGGCTGGCCGGCCCCGCCGCTGCCGGGGTCGCCCGTGCGGATGGCCGCGTCGTGGGCGAGCCTCGCGCCGGGCCTGGGAGCGCGGCGTGGCCGGCCGGCCCACAGCTCTGCGGGAGAAAATGGCCTCCCGGCTCGGACAGTGGAGGGACGGTTCCCCGAGCTGGCACGGCCCCCAGCGGGGCGAGGGCCCGAGGCGGCCGAGGGTGGCAGAGCCCGCCCCAGCCGCGAGGGGGAGCACGCGGGAGGCGAGTCCGAGACGGTGCCCGGGGAGGTGGGGCCCGGTGCGGCCCCCCCCAGCTTAGCAGCGATCCTTTGCCGCGCCCGTTCCTCCCCCACCCCACCCCCCGCACGGCGGAATAACTGCCCCCGGGCTGCAGAGAAAAACCTTTAGAAGTGAAATGACTTGTCCAAGGTCACCTGACAACCAGTGGCAGCTCCAGCCCCTGCCCTCCCCAGCCCCCCCCTTAACGCGCTGTGCCGTTTTTCACTTCCATCACAAATCCAAAACCGTCTTCCCCCTAGGACTCGATTTCTTTCCTTTTCCTCCCAGCAGCGACAGTGCTGGCCCATGGGAAGGCGCCGTGGGCAGTGAAACGGCGTCGCGCCGCCCCTGGGCTGGTCATGGGACCGGTGGACAGGGTCACCCGCAGCAGCTCCCAGGAGCTCAGCACAGGGCAGCGGGCGAAGGTGCAGCCCCAGGGAGACACGGTTCGTGCCAGAGACGCGACTGGTTCTGCGGGACAGCGGTGCGGGCAGGGCCTGCTCTGAGACTTGGTCTTACCCTGGCCTGGGCACGTGGGGTGACAGGAGAAGCCTGCCTCAGTCTCCCAGCTGCACCCCTCAAGCAGACCCCTGCCGGCAAGGCGCCTCTCACAGCGAGAACGCTTGCTGGTAAAGGGGCTTTTGTCCCCGTTGGGGGGTGGCACACTTGGCAGGGGTCTCTGCCCATGGTGTCCACTGGTGCCAGGGTTGGGCCCAGGCCCCCGACATGCGCTCTCCCCAGCACCCAGCAGAATGGATCCTGGCAGGGAACCTGACCACAGTCTGGTCAGGTTCGTGTGCTCCCGACAGGGATTTGGGAGGACCGACAGAGCGCAGCCTCAGTTTACCAGTCAGTGCCCGGTAGGATGGGCTTGTGTGTCATACTGCTGGGGGGATGGCCAGACGGAGTCGTGTGGGTGGAGCTTTAGAATGACACGAAGCAGGGCCTCGTTCTCCCGGACTGGCGCCTGAGACCCCCACCAGCCATTTGGCCCCAACCAGCAGCTCCTGCGCTCATGCGGCTACTGGCTGCGGCTGGTGCAGATGGTGGGACCAACGGCTCTGCCCAGCAGTGACTTGATCCCTTTACACGCCCCTCCAGGGCCCCTCCTAACTCTTGGGGGTTCACTCAACCTCTTTTTTCAGCCCTGATTGACCACGAACACAGTTCCCTGTGTCACTGTATCGGGCCTGAGCTTTGCTCTCCGTGTCTGGGGGCGCGGGGACCTTGGTGGCATATGGCAAGCGTGGGCCACCGGTCAGGACTCCAGAGGGACCTTGGCTAACCATGGCAAGCGTGGGCCACCGGTCTGAGGAATCCCTGGGCATTGAGGGCCACCCCAGGAGGGCCCCTTTTCCTGATGCAGAAAGGTTCCCCAGTCCTGTGCTGGCCGCTGCAGGGACACCGGGGTCTGCTGGTAGAAAGTCTCCCAGCAGGACCAGCGTCTGTGTCCACGCAGCCCTCAGCCCACCCCGACGGGGGCTCCCGGGGCATCGGGGGTAGGGGTTGTGGCTTCCAGAGGGGTCTGCAAGAACTCGAGAGGGGGGGCTCCCGGGGCAACTGCGGGGAGTCAAAGGGCACTTTCGGGCCGCACCCCCAGAGCCCAGAGGATGCGGCGAGTGGATTCGGGAGGGGCAATGTCGGTTCAGAATCCCGTCCCGACCCCCCAAACCCTCCAGGCCCTGTCCCCGGGGCAGCCCCACCCGCTACCCCTCGGCCTTCCCTCCTTCCCAGGCGGTGGCAGAGCAACGTTCGCTTTTATTTGGTGAGAATTCAAGTGCAAGTGCGTCCTGAGTGTGCGGGCCGGCGGCCTGGGCCTGCGCCCTACCGCTCGGCCAATCGCCTGGGCCGGCCCGGCCAGGTCCCAACTTGCCCGGGAGCTGGGCCAGGGCGGGACGCGGTCAGGTGACCGGCCGCGGGGGCGGGCAGGGGCCGACACCCGCGCCCCGCCCCCCGACGCAGCAGCTCGGGGACGCGCACCGGCCACGTCCCTGGCCCCCGGCGGCCAGAAGCAGTGGGCAGGGCGGTGCTGAGGCCAGCACGGAGGTGGGCGCGGGTGTCCAGCGCTGGTCTTGCAGACCCTCGCGAGGCTCAGGGCACAGCAGGGTGCAGGGCGCAGGACCTCCTGGGCGGGCGCAGACTCCCCTCCCCGGAGTCACCTCTTGTGGGTCCGGAGCTGTCTCAAGAGCCACTGGACGATGAAGGGCCACAGGAGGAAGAAGAGCAGCGTGGGCCCGGAGAGTCGGAGCGGCCAGGGCCGGGCGCCGGGCTTCTGCTGCGAGAGGGTTGGAATCAGGGCCGGCAGGGCCCCAGCATGCCCTGGTGTCCTGCCTCTTGATCTCGGGGGGCGCTGGGGCAGATCTCCACCACTAGAAGGCGCCTGGGGGGTCCTGATGCATCCTAGACCCCGTGGACCCCAAATCCCACATCCTCCCCAGCTAGGAGGCCCCGAGACTAGGCCACACCAGTGATGGGGGGTGCCCTGAAGGCCCCAGATAATAAGGATGAGCCTCAAGATTCAAACAAGGAACCAGGCTTCTCTTTCAGACGTTTGTTGTCTTTGATGAAGTGGCTGACTCCAGGTCTGGGGCAAGGAAGATAAAGAGGTGAACGTGGGCACCTTGTACCTCAAAGCACAGAAGCTTTGAAAGATTCATGAGGTCACTTTAGAGGAAGCAGGACCCAACTAAGGAGGGGCTCCGCGTACTTAAAAGTGTGGACAATATGATGCTCAAACAGTATGATGAAATAACTGTCAAAGTCCATGATCCATAATAATATTTAAAAAAAGATGTCACAACTGAGGTGATTATTTAATCACCTGGCTTTTACTTTGTTTTGTACCACACCAAGTAGTGCTTAGGCCTTACTCCAGGATCTGTGCTCAGAGATTATTCCTGGCAGGGCTTGGGGAACTATAAGTGATGCTGGAGACTGAAGCCAGGTCAGCCATGTGCAATGCAAGTGCCCTGACTGTACTATCTCTCCAGTCCCAAATTCTTTACTTTTAAAAATAGGTGGAGGGAGGGAGAGGGGCAAGCGATAGTGCAGTGGTGGGCTCTTGCCTTGCATGCAGTCAATCCGGGTTTGATCCCTGGAACCCCACATGGTCCCCTGAGTACGGAGCCAGGAGTGATCCCTGAACACAGGGCCAGGAGTAAGATCTGAACATCACCAGGTATGACCCCCAAACAAAACACCAAAGGAAAAACAACAACAAAACCGTTGAAAAGGCCATAGTACAGAAGAAGCTCCTAAGCAATCCTGGGTATGGCCCACCTACCTCAACAACCCCAAAAATATTCACTGTCACTGTCCTCCCATTGTTCATCGATTTGCTCAAGTAATGTCTCCATTTTGATATTTGTTACTGTGCTTGGCATATCGAATACGTCACGGGTAGCTTTCCAGGCTTTGCTGTGTGGGCGAGGTACTCTCGGTAGCTTGCCGGGCTCTCCGACAGGAGTGGAGGAATTGAACCTGGGTCGGCCAGGTCGGCCATGTGCAAGGCAAACACCCTACCTGCTGTGCTATCGCTCCAACAATATTCAAGGAAAAATATTTAAGGACTTATCTATGCCTTCCCAGAGCACTGTAGAAACTAGAAATGACAGCTAATAATACAGTTAAGGTAGCAGAAAACAAGTTAAAGTCAGTGTTCTTTTTCAACCACTATATAAAATATTGATCCATGTCAAGGCTGTCATTCACTCACTGTGAGAAAACCCTGAGGCAGTGGATAGACAGAAAAAAAGAGTCGGTGATTGCAAGGGAGAAACATTACATTGGGGATCAAACTGTCCCCGCCTCGCCTCTGGTCCATGCCAGATCACTGAAGGGGGCCTCCCGATGCGGTCCCAGGACTAGGCAATAGGATGTTCTTAGTTTTAGAGATGCGATTTCAGGGTGGAATTTCTTTATGTCATCATCATATAAAACTAGTAAGAGAGAGGCTGGAACAATAGTACGGTGAGTAAGGTGCTTGCCTTGCACATAGCCGACCTGGATTCGATCCCTGGCATCCCATATGGTCCCCTGAGCAATGCCAGGAGTAACCCCTGAACAACACTGAGTTTAGTTCCCCGCCCAAAAAAAATGGCGAAAGAAAAATAATACTAAACCTTGCCGGGGGATAGATGTTGAAAAAGAAGAGTCACTGTGGCTCTGAGGAAATTCCTGCCACTGGTTCCACTGTGCCAACAGGGGCAGGGGTTACCCAAGTGACCTCCCAAATCTGGCAACTCTGCCTTCTCCTGACCCTGACACTGAATGGCCAAGTTTTTTTTTTTGTTTGTTTGTTTCTTTTGGTTTTTGGGCTACATTCAGGATGCTCAGGGCTTACTCCTGGCTCTGGGCTCAGGAATTACTCCTGGCAGGCTCAGGGGACCACATGGGATGCCAGGGATTGAACCCAGGTGAATGAACTCAGGTCAGCTGTGTGCAAGGCAAGTGTTGCTGTACCTGCTGTACTATCGCTCTGCCTCTGACCCAGAGGTTTTGAAGAACAGGCGCAGAGCTATTGGAAGTTGGCTGCTGGCATTGGAGGGAGGCAGCTCCAAGGCCAGACCCAGTTCTATCACTTAACAGGAATAATGATGAACCCCATTCAAAAGCACCTTTCAGAGAGACAGTACAGGGGTAAGGTGCTTGCCTGGCATGTGACCAATCCTGGTTTGATCCTGGCAGCACATCATATGGTCCACAAGCACTGCCAGGAGCAATTCTAAGCATAGGACAGCCACTGAATCCCGCTGGAGTAATGGGGGCTGGAGCTATAGAACAGTGGGTAGGGACTTTGCCTTGCATGCAGCCGATTAAGTTCAATTCCCAGCATCCCATATGGTCTCCTGAGCACCGCCAGAGGTAATTCCTGAGTGCAGAGCCAGGAGTAACCCCTGTGTATTATTGGGTGTGACCCCAAAAACAAAGCAAAAAAAAAAGGAAGTGAGGGATGCAAGGGCCAAACTGTGTGGGGGTGAACCCACAGTCTGGGACCAGAGGGACGGCAGGGATAGGCTGTCCTGGCCCTTGTAAGTCTTGGCTCAGTTCCTCTCCGGGCAAGAGGTGGGGACAGGGCAGGAAAGCTGGGTCCTCCCTCGGCCCTTTAAGGGTGAGGCTCTTCAGCCTCGATTTCCCCTCCTCGAGCCAGAGCCAGAGAGGTGGGCTACTGCAGCTAACATAGAAACGGTGGCATGAGGGGCTTCCTGCTTCTGCCCTGCCCCGGGACGGAGGGGCTCACCTGCGTGGGGGAGCAGGGCGTGTTCTCCAGGCTCTGCAGCCTGCCCTGGACGTCCCGCATGTTCTCCTGCAGGGCGCGAACAGTCCGCACCAGCCACACGTCCACTTCCCGGGGCGCCGATGGGCTGCCTTCCGGCCCTTCTGGGGATCACATTTGCAGAGGCTGGGGTGGGTCCCAGGGAGGCCCGGAGTGGAGTGCAACCGGGGACCAAGGGACCAAGCCTGGCACTCGCGGCCAGGTCCACCCACGCAGCTGAGTCTAAATCCCAGCCCCGCCACCAGGTGAGGGGACTTTGGGGAAGTCGGAAATGTCTCTGAGCCTTCTCCTGAGAGTCAGGGGAATGGGGCGTCTCCCAGACTGGGCTGCAGGCCCCGGGGGATAAATATCTACGAAGGGTGAAGGGTCGCCCTCCAGACACAGCTTCCCAGGAATTCTAGAAGGGGATGGAGGATATCTTCCCTGCACAATATTGTTCTGTGAAAGCCCCGGATGGGGGTGTGGAGGGAGGTTGAGCCCCATCCCACGCAGACACACGTGGGGGTAGAGCTCCCACTCCCAGCGGGTGGGGACTTTGCCCATCCTACAATGGCAGGTCATTGGGCAACCCCTCCTGGGCAGAGGCCAGCACCCAGGGTTGGACTTTTCCCTCTGCTTGGGGCACCAGAAACCAAGGCAGGCAAAGGGTGAAGGGTCATCCCAGGCTCACCTTTGTCTGTGTAGCCGGGGCTGGGGCTGGTCCTGGCCCTGGGCTCTCCTCCAGGGGCCCCCCTCTGCTCAGCCCGAACCTGTGAAGATGACAGAGCAGCACGGATGAGGGGGTGCGGGGAGCTGGGGGGCCAGCGGGGCAGGGTAGCGGCCTGGGCTCACCGCTTCGGGCTCCAGCTGCTCCACAGAATCGCAGAAATCCTCAGAGTCCAAGTCCTTGGGTGTGGAGGCCTCTGAACAGGGGGTGGCGGGTTAGTGACACCTGGCCACGGGGGGTGGGGAGAGGGGCGGGGAGAGGAAGGGTGCCTCTCCATGGGCCCAGGGACGCACAGCCAGAAACAATGACTGCGGCCAGAGTGACCAGTACAACAGGTTGGGTGTTGCTTGCATGTGAAAAACCTGGGTGTCATACCGGCACCCCTGAGCCTGCCAGGAGCGAGCCCTGAGCACCGCCAGATGTGACTCCCCAAACAATGAAAGAGACTCTGGTGGGGGCCAGAGGTGAGGCTCTGGAAGAGACCCCAGAACTGGGTTCATGTGAGGGCTCAGTGTCAATGGGCACGGGGGCACGGGGCACACAGTAGCACTGGCCTCCTCCCTCTTCCCCACCCGGAGGATCCCAGTCTCAGGCCAGGTTGGGTACTGACCTGGGCTAGGGGGTGCCAGTTCCTGCGGGGAGTGGGGAGGCCGTGGGTCTACTCCCGTGCTTCCATCATTCCCTGCCTTCCTTGTGCGACCTGCCGAGACACGGCCCCCGAGGGGACCCCTGACCTGAGACGGCCTCCTCACAAGCTCTGCTTCGGGTCCTCCCAGGGACACCCCCTGAAGCCCACTGCCCTGCCCTTGGGCCCCTTCACCTGGGCAGGGGTCCCCAACCTGGGGCCTGACCTGTGGCCCTCCTCAGGAAGGACTCCGGGGGTCTTGGCATGTCAGGGATCATCTGGTACAGAGGCTCGAAGTACCCGAACATCTCCTCGGCCACCTCGTCCAGGGGCACTGTGTCGATCACCTGTGGGTACTGGGCTGTCGGGCAGGGCACCCATCCCACCACCTGCCCACCCCTTTCGGTGCCTGGCCCCCGGGGCTGCCGTCCAGTGGGAAGCAGAGGCGGGCAGCGTTGGGGGGACCCAGGAGGGGGTGACCTGGCAGGTAGGGGCCTCTCTGACCTTCTGTGCCACCAACTTCATCTGGCTGATGTAGGCGGCCATGGCCTCCTCCTTGCTCATCCGGCCCAGGCTGTTCCAGGCGTCCCTGGGGGTGTAGCACGGTGAGGCGGCCGCCTCCCCAGGGCGGCCCTGTCCACAGGGGCGTTGGGCTCACCATTTGTATCTCTCAATGGGGTCCCAGAAGCCGGGGCGGGGGATCCTGCAGGGCCCCATGGTCGCCTGCTTGTAGTAGCTGTAGAACCGCAGCATTTCTTCGTATGAGGGGCTGTAAGACCCTGGGGGGGGGGGAGGGAGCGACAAGTCATCCCCAGCTCCAGGAGGACAGAGGTGCGGGGTGCCCAACTTTGGGTCAAGCAGGGGTCCCACCCAGGGTAGGTGCGGGAGCAGAGGGGGTGCCCAACAGACTGCGGGCATCGGCGGCTCCTGGGACCCGTGACAGCCCCCCAAAGCGGGCCCCCCGCCCTCACCATTCTTAGGCAGGTTCTGAATGACGCTGACGGCAGCCTGGAACTGCCGCTGGCGGTCGGGCTCTGAGTGTCCACTCTCGGTGCCCATGCCCGGTGGTCGCGGCCGGGCCCGGCTTCGGGGCGACTCTGCAGGCTGCGCCGGGCGCGCGGCGAAGCCGCGGACTCTCGGGCAATCCTGCGCGAAACGGGGAGGACACGGTGGGTACGCCGGGCGGCCGGGCTCGAGAACCCCCACTACGTGCACATCCCAACTCCTAAACAGGCCAGTGGGCGAGCAGGGCGGAGCCGGGGCGGGGCGAGCAGAGTCCCACCCCGACTCCGCACGCCGGCCGGGCCGCCCGGTACTCACCCCGCGGCGCCCACTGACCGGACCCCGGGGTCCTCGGTCGCCGCCGGACGGGGGCTTCCAACTGGCCTCCCGGCCCAGACGCGCCGGGACGCGGACACCGAGCCAGGGGGGAAACTTAAGCCAATGAGAGAGCCCGTCTCAGACGCGTCTTCGGGGCTTCGACCAATCGGCGCGGCCCTTTCAGAACGGCGCAAGCAGCCCGGCCACGCCCCGCCCCGTCGGGCGTGGCCAAGGCGCGGGGCGGCCCAGCCCCGGCGGCCAGAGGCGGACACACGCGCCCCCTCGTGGACGCACCGAACGGACGCGGCGCCCGCGCGCCCCCTGGCGGACACCTGTCCTCACGGTCTGGCACATCTCCGCCACCTCGCTTCGTTTTTCAGTTTGAGGGCCACACCAGACGGGGTGTTGGGCGTTGGTCTGAGCTGTTTGTTGGTTTCTTTTATTGCTGGGGACAATACTGTGTCGGGGATTAGACCCGGGTCTCCCACATGTAAAACGCGTTCCAGCCCTTTGAGCCGCCGCTCTTTTACTCTTCCCACCCTCCACCCCCGCCTTGGGGCCAGAAAGACAGTAGTGGGGGGAAGGCAGTGTCTTGCACGTAAGCTGCTCAGGTTCGATCCCCGGCACCGTGAACACTGCTGGGTGTGACCCTGTGCTCAGAGCCAGGAGTGACCCTAGTGCTCAGAACAAGAAATGACTCCTGTGCTCAGAGCCGCTGGGGTGTGCCTCCCCCGCCTCCCAAAAAATGTTCTCTGGCTCCTGGTCAGGGTTCTAGAAGAGGCGTGTGGGTGCTGAGTTTAATGAGAATGGGGCACGGGTAGCACAAGTGGTAAGAGGCCCCTCCCTCAGCACCACCGGGTGTGGTGCACATTTTAAAATATGTCAGAGAAGAATGGGGAAGGTCTTCGATTCCCAGCATCCCGTATGGTCCCCTGAGCACTGCCAGGAGTAATTCCTGAGTTCAGAGGCAGGAGTAACCCCTGTGCATCGTCGGGTGTGACCCAAAAAGCATTTAAAAAGACCAAAAAAAATTAATGGGAAGGTCGTTCCTGGAGAAAGGAACCAGACACCCCGCGGCTTCAGACTGCGGACGTGGGCGGCCCAAGCCGGCGCGCAATCCCGGGGTCAAGGTCAACTGGGAGCCGCGGGCTGGAAGCCGGAGGTGGCAGGGCCGGGCCTGCTCGCACTCGCCGCGGCCGCCGGGTGGCGCTGCGCACCCGACGCCCACCAGGCCCGGGCGCTCGCTGCGCTCAGCGCGGTCCCCGCGCGCCTGCCGCATGAGTCACCCGCCCGTCGGCGCAGACACGCGGGCGGGCTCGCGGCTCGTCCGGGCGCGACGGCCCCGCGGATCGAGGTCACCGACATCTGTGCTGCCTGCAGGGGCTACCCGGGGGCCACTGAACTCGCGCCGGGGGGCTAACCCGAGTCTCCAGGCCCCGAACCCTAGTCCCGCCGGTCCCGCTGGACCTGCCCCTCGGGGCTTTGGACTCGGGGCACCCTGGGGTGCCGGGGAGCGAGCCCGGCCCGCGCGCAGCCAGGTAGGGCTGCTCCCTTTCTCCCCCCCGAGATTTTTGCCCGCGAGGGGGAACGGGCGGGGCGCCTAGAGGGTGAGTCCGTTACGTCACAGCCACGTCCCTACTCCGCCCCCACCCTACCCCCGAGTTCTGGCCTCCTCGCGCCCCGGCTTTCAGGGCGCTTTCCAGAGCACCCGCGCCCCAGGACGAGCCCCCGCGCCCCAGGACGAGCCCCCGCGCAGACCCCGGCCCGTGTGCCCGGCAGGACGCTGGCTGGGATGGAGGGGAGGGGCTCAGGGTGCTCCCGGAGTCAGTCCCCGGAAAGGCACGGGTGTCTGCAGGGCCCCCAGACCTTGGGGGCTCTGGCCACCTACGGGGTCGGGGCCGAGGGCCGCTCGGAGGGCGGGGAGGCGACCCCCTGAGTCGGGGAAGGAGACGGCTCCCCCACCCTCCCCGCCAGCGCGAGCCTCGGGGAGCGCGCGGCGCCGGGCCTGGGGTCCCCGCCCCCCGCGGCCGCCGGCGCCACCCCCGCCGGGCTGGACCCGCCCCTCGGCCCCGGTCCCTCCTTCGGGGCCGCGTCCCACCTCCGCGGCTCCCGGCGTCCCTCCCCGGCTCCCGCCCGCGCCGCTAAGTTTGCTGGCCCCGGGCCGCGCACAGAGCCGGGGCCGGGCGGAGCAGCGCCCCGCGGACGGTCCCCGCGCAGAGCCCGGCCCCGGCCCGACCATGCTGTGCCGCCGCTGGAGGAAGCGCCGCCCCCCGCCCGAGGAGCCCCCGGCGCGGGCCCAGCTGGCGGCGCCCACCGCGCTCCCGCCCGCACCCCCGGACGGCGGCTCCAGGAGGCCCGGGCTGCGCGCGCTCAAGAAGCTGGGTCAGTGGCGCGGGGCGACAGGACTGCGGGGCCAGGGGCCGGGCAAGGACAGGGACAGGGGCTGCGGGGACGGAGACAGGGCGGGGACAGGGAGGGAGGCTGCGGGGACAGAGACGGGGCTGGGGGGACACAGACAGGGCGGGGACAGACAGGGACTGGGGGGGGTGGGCGGCTGCGGGGACAGAGATGGAGAGATGGGGCTGTGGGGGACACAGACTGGACAGGGAGGGGGCAACTGCGGGGACAGAGATGGGGCTGGGGGGACACAGACTGGACAGGGAGGGGGCAACTGCGGGGACAGAGATGGGGCTGGGGGGACACAGACAGGGCGGGTACAATAATGGGGTAGGCACTGAGATGGGGATGCGGGACTGGGTCAGGGTGGGTGCAGGGCCTGCACTAGCCCATCGGGGGTCCCTGGGTCCCCCAGAGGCCCTGGGGGGGTGGCGTCCATGGCAGGCTGTAGCAGGTGCAGCTTGGGGTCCCTGATCACTGGAGGGTGGGTTGGGAGACAGCCTTGGAGGCCCCTGCCTGCCTCCCCAAGTCCTGTCTGTGCTCCTGGGTCCTGAGGTCCCTCCTGGCCCTGGGCTCCTGGCAGCCTAAGTGGGGCCTGCCTCCCCAGCACGCCCAGCCTGCCGCCCCCACCCCTCCCAGGCTCCTGGCATGGCAGGACTGGGTAGGAGAAGACAGGAACAGGAGGGCAGGACTTCGCTTGAGATTGGAGGGCTCTCTGGGAGGGGGAGAAACTGCCCTGAGAGCAGGCTGGCACCAGGTGGTCACTTCTGGGGGTGTCACTGAGCCCGCGTCTTCCTGAGCGCTCAGGGACAGGGAAGTGCTGGGAGAAGCAGGGAGTCTGCCCGACTCCTCCACCCCGTGCACCTCAGTCTGGGCTCTGGGTGCTGGTGTTTGGGGGTCTTGAGTGAGGGGTGCCTCCGGCTGCAGTGAGGAACTGGTTGCTGTTGGTTGAGGGTTGAAGCGGGGAGGGAGGAGGAGCTGTCCAGGAGACCCCCCAAATCCAGGCTAATTTCTGGGTCCTGATTGCAGTGTGTCTGCCCTTTGCTGACACCACACCCCTGCTCTCTTCCTGGTTCTGCCCCTCCCTTGATCAACTTGAGTTTGTTGGGTTTTTCTGTATGGTTTTAGGGTGTTGGAGCCACACCCGGAGGTGCTCGGGTGCTGGGGATCTAACCGGGGTGGCCCAATGAGGCCAGCACCTTGACTCCTGCACTAGCTCTCTGGGCCTGGTTGTTTTTGTTTGGGGAGCCACATCCAGCCGTGCTCCGAGGCCACTGGGGGTAGTGCGGTGCCTGGGGGAACCACATTCCTACCATCTGCACTGCCTTTGGAGCCACGTCGCCCATGACCCGGGCTTGCCCCCGGCACGCTCCTCAATCACAGATGTGCCCCTGGTCTGGCTTCCAGCAGCACCCAATGCTCATGCTCTTCTGGGACTCCCAGGAGGAATCTGGGGGTTCAGCCCAGACCCAGTCCAGGCCTGGGGTAGCTGAAGCGTTCACAGGGAAGGAGATTTCAGCTATGAGCGGAGGGTCCTGCCTGCACCCTTGGACCAGGAGCCTAGAGTGAAGCAAAGGGGGGAACCACATGGGGCTCCCAGAGACAGTTCTTTGGACCAAAGATGGCCACACTGGGGTCGGGGCTAGGGCTGCCTTGGTAAATTCCAGAAGCATCAGGAGGCAGAGGCTGCCCGTGCCTCTGGGTGATGCTTGGGAGAGGAGAGTGCTTGTGAGGACTTAGGGACACAGGGCACCCCCCAGGGTTAGGAATGTGGGGGGCAGCCGTCTGCCTCTGGGGGGGGGCTCCTCAAGGGTTTGGGCGCAGGCAGGCCCGAGGAGATGAGCAGCTCCATCCCGTGCCCTCGAGACACAGCCCAGTGATGGAGACACTGACAAATCCTCACTCGGAGCCAGGGCCAGCACCTGGCACTGAGTCAGCATGAGAGCCACGGGCACCTGTCCCGTCCCAGTGACAGTGTCACCAGGTATGTGGGTGTCAGGTGCCATCTGGGCTGCCCTACCCCCGCCCCCGCCCCCCCTCCCCACACACATCCCCTTCCCGACACTGAAACCCAGCCCAAGGCTCCCCTGGGCAGTCCCCATGCACCCCTTGCTGCCAGCACCCCTGGGTCCTTCCCCTGCATTCCATGAACTCAGAGGGCAGATGTCACATCAGCCCACCAGGGTCACAGGAAGAGGGAAAAGAAAAAAGATTTTAAGGGGCCAAAGCAATAGCACAGCAGGGAGGGCGCTTGCCTTGCATGTAGCCAACCCGGGTTCGATCGCCGGCATCCCATATGGTCTCCTGAGCCCACCAGCAGAGATTCCTGAGCGCGGAGCAAGGAATAAGCCCTGATCATCGTTAGGCGTCACCCCAAAACAAGACAAAAAAGGACTTGAAGCCATAGTTGGGGAGCCGGGGCTGGAAAGGGGGAACCCCATGGTGAGCTGGGGGGGGCACCTGTGAAGCCTAGGAGCTCCAGGGAGCTGGGTGATGAGGGGGGCAGAAGAGGGGCCAGAAGCAAAGGCACAGGGCAGACCCATCAGCCAAGTCCCCACTTCTTCCTGGCCTGTGGGAAGGGACTGTCCCCCAGACATGACCCCAGAGGGAGTCCCACCAGGCTGCAGGCTCAGAGGCAGCCAGGAGCTCCCAGCGGGGGCGGGGGCGGGGGGGGTGGTGTCCCTGTGCAGGTGGGGTGCCGCGGTTGGGGGCCAGGCTCTATCAGCACTTTTTTTTTTTTTTTTGCTTTTTGGGTCACACCCGGCGATGCTCAGGGGTTACTCCTGGCTCATGCACTCAGGAATTACTTCTGGCGGTGCTGGGGGACCATATGGGATGCTGGGAATCGAACCCTGGTCGGCCATGTTGGCTGCGTGCAAGGCAAACGCCCTACCCACTGTGCTATCGCTCCAGCCCCTCCATCAGTACTTTTGAAGACACACAGGAGCTCCCGTCTCCTGCCCTTGTCTTACAAATGAGGAAACTGAGGCTCCAGTTGGGCTTGAGCCAGAGCAGGTGTCAGTAAAAGGAGGGGTGATTTACACCTGGGAGGGTCCTTCCTCCCCAGACCCTCCCCCCAGCAGCCCTGCCAGCATCCCCCCTCCAACAACTGCTGGGAGCCTGGCCAGATAAAATAAAGGATGCGGGTTCAGTGCGAAGACAGGAAAACCAGAATGATGTGGGCACATGCGGAAGTGTGAGATTGCGGTTTGTTTGGAGTTCAAGTTCAGTTGAGCTTCCTGAATTTTCTCCCAGGTCCTCTTATCTGCCTCAGGACACGCCCCCCTCCCCATGCCTTTGCCCCCGTTAATCCTGCCCCCCCCATCACACAGATCATTGGGTGCCAGTGTCCCACTGCCTGCCATACCCATGCACATGCCACCAAGAGTGGCCAGTTGGAGGCTGTCCCCGGGGTATCCACTGGGGGTCTTCAGAGGGTGCCTGGCCTGGGAGTGGGAGCTGAGCAGTTCCCACAGGCAGGAGGGCAGTCCACCCCTCCACCCTGATTTCTGCCCCCAGACAGGCTTCCTGCTGGACAGAGTGGCCCCCTGCACCCCCAGGGCTGCAGGCCTTGCTCACTGCGCTGGGCTTCGTTTGTTCTCCCAGGAGTGTCAGGGCCTCGCTGAGCTACCTGGGCTCTGGGCCCGGGTGTGGCTGCCAGCCTGGCCTGGTTGCGCTGAATCAAGGGGGACGATCTGCTGGGCAGGTGCATGGTGGCCCCTCGGAGCTGCAGTCCCTCCCAGAGTCTCGTGGCACTGCCAGAAGCTGCTCCCCCTCCCCTTGCCTTGGCACAAAGCTGTAGCTGTCCCTGCGCCTGCATGTCACATTCCTGCAGGAGCCCCTCACCCCAGCGTCATGCACACTGCCCCCCCAACCCCCAGCTCTTACACGCAACCCTAAAGGCACACACGCCCACACATGCCACCCTCCACACCCTGCAGCACACACCTCCTTATCTCTCCCTGCTCTGCGTCCACAGGGCACCCCGGTCCTGAGGTGGGGGGGTCCTCCTGCCTTGGCCTCTGCTGCCTCTGCTCAGGCCGGACCTCCACCCCTGCCGGGCACCCAGCAAGTGGCTTGTCCTTTTGGAGCTTTGCCCTGAGGGGGACCAGCATTGGACTTGTCCTGCCCGCTGCCCCTTCCTGCTCCGTAGGGAGGCAGTTTCCCGTAGCCGAGGGTGGCACTGGGGCCTGACTGAAAGCAGGGCCCCGGGTTTGCTGATCCCCCATGCACTCCCCCCCTCCCCGGTTGCCTTGGGGGATGAGATAAGCATGCAGGGAGTGTCTGAGCCCAGCTAACAACAGGCAGAGTGCCAGGAGGCCTGCAGCCCTGGGGAGCCCTCCAGAGGCCCAGGGTGGGAGGTGGTGCTGAGGATGCAGGGGTCAGGGGATGTCTGGATTCCCTCTTCCTCTTGGAACACTGCCTCAGTTTCCTTCTTTGGTGTGTGCGTGGCCATTGCTGGCCAGGCCTGAACCAAGCATCCAGGTGCTAGCTACAGGGCTTTGGGTTCAGGCCTCCCCAACTCTGCCCACGTTCCCGCTCCACTACCTGCTGGCCCCATCCGGCTCTGAATGAATTCACATTCCAGCCAACCCGTCCAACTGTGTTATTTTTAATTGTGGCATAACAATTATGCGGTGGCGCAGTCAGGAACTGCTTTCAGTACAGGGCTGGTGGAAGCTTCCAGACTCTCAGCAGAGCAGCCAGGATTGGGCTTGGTGCTTGTAGGACTCGTGGGTGCTTTCAAGGCAGGCACCCTGAGCCCTGGGGCTAGTTCTCTGCACCCCAGATGACCCATATTTAAGTGCTCCTTAGGTAGCAGAAAATAGCTGTTCCCTGTTCCTCCTCCCACCCGCCCCTGAGGGCTTCATATCTTTCTGTCTCTGAATTTTTTTTTTCGTGGGGACTCTGCAGAAAGGGGTCTGGCAGGCCTGGGCACTGGGCAGGCTGGCAGGTCCGTCCAGGGTGTGGCACAGACGGACCCCACTGCAAGCTCCCTTCCATGGCTGACGCCTTTTCTGCTGTCCAGAGGCCACATTGGCTCAAAGTCAGCAGCTGATGGGCACGGCTGGGCGCAGTCACCTGCCCTCATGTTGACTGCTCTGATTTCATGATTGTTCCCCACATGCTGAGTCAAGGTGACCAGCTGCGGGGGCTGTTCCCCCACCTGCTGGCCGGGCCCTGCCCCAGGCTCCCAGACCATGATGCCAAGATCTTCAACCCAGGGACAGGAGGCCCCGGGGGCAGCACACACCTCACACCTGCTCTGAACAGGCCGGAAGCAGGTCAAGGAAGCATCCGTGGATCGACGCCTGGCAGGACCCGGGGCTTTGTGGGCGGCTGGGCCTGCAGCCAGAGGCCTCGACAGCACTGCCCAGTCTGGGCACTCCTGATGTCACCCTCTGTGGGTCCACCCCTTCCTGTCTGACACCCCTGTCCCCTCAGAGCCCCCTGGGGTTCAGAAGTTCACCCGTGGGGAAGTAGAGGCACTACTCTGGGCTCGTCAGCCCCTGGCCCGGCCCGGCCCTGCGTGTTCATTTCTTCTGGATTTCTCTGGGGCTCTGGTTGGGGTGGGGGCTGCGTAGTGGGGGTAATGCCAGCCGGGCGGGCAGTCTGGAAGTCTGGTGAGGAACATGGGCCCCTCACCGTGGGAACCGACCCTAGAGGGAGCTCAGGCTGTCTGTCTCCGTGTCCTGTTTGCAGAAAACTTGGGACAAAGCAGGCCCAATGACTCACCTCCATTTCCGGCCTTAGTCACTCACCAGCCCCCCCTCTTCTCCACCCCACCCCTACCCCCAACATGGGTTTGGCATCCCGGGAATGGTTGGCTCAGGGGAGGTGGGCCCAGCTGCAGAGGTGCTAGGAACCAGTCGTCCCCTCTTCCTGGAGCTGAGGGGAAGTGGGGTGCTTGGAAGGTGGCAGTGTCCGGCCCCCATCCCACATTTCTGGGGGTGAAAGAAGTCGAGGCTGGTGGGGGAAGGGCTGAGGCTGCACCCCTGGTCTGGCCCTGCCGGTTCTAGCTCTGGGTCAGGTAAGGCGGGGTTCAGTTCCCCTCCCTGCCTGGGGCATGGAACAGTGTGGATAGAGCTCCACCCCCAGGCCCAGAAAGCCACCTCAGGGTGACCAGGGCCCAGTATCTGTCCCACAAACTGTGATAACCTCCCCTGGGCGTTCTGACCCGTCCAGCCAGCAGTGCCACTCCCAGGACTGGGGACAAATGGGACAGAGGGACAGGGCTGAGGAAGTCCTCCTGCCTCCTTCAAGTCAGCGCTGGCTGACCTGGGCCGAGGTGTGACAGGGAGAAACTAGATGCCCTCTCGGGCTAAGGAATGACCATTTTGTTGGGTGTAAAGTTCTGAGGGCATGCCGGGGCTGGGCTTCTGGCAGCCAAGGAAGGAGGCTCTCAGGGCAAATCAGGGCCCAAGAGAACTCAAAAGGCTGGGAGCAGGAGTAAGGAAATGGCCCGGAGGCTGGGAGCGTGGGGGGGGGGGCTGGTAAGGAGGCGGCTCACATGGCTGTCAGCTAGCGCACATGCTGTGCACGAGGCAAGCCCAATCCCTGGTACTGCACAGCTCCTGAGCATGCCTGGAAATGACACCCAGCCATCCACACACACAACAACAACAACAAAGCCCTGTGGTGCTCAGGGCTTACTCCAGGCTCCTTGCTCAGGGTCACTGCTGGCAGGGCTGGGGGGAACAATATGCAATATGTAGGTGTCAGGGATTGAGCCCAGGTTGGCTAGGTGCAAGGCAAGTGCCTTTGTCTTAACCCCTGCTCTATCTCTCCTGCCCCTTAATTTGATTTTCTTGCCATCAAGAAAAGATCTGGAGATTCACAGGCAGTCGGGATCTCTGAGCTCAGGTCTTCCTCCACTCCAGACTGCCCTCCACTTCTTCTTTTTTATCTTTTTTTGTTTGCTTTTGGGCCACATCCGGTTGTACTGAGGCTTTTTCCTGGGTCTGCATTCAGGAATCACTCCTAGTGGGGTTTAGGGGGACCATACCTGGTGCCAGGGATGGAACCTGGGATGGTTGCATGCAAGGAAAGTTCCCTAGCCACTGCTGTACTATCATTCTGACACTCCCCCACCCCCCAAAAAAAAACCCTTTATTTATTTATTTATTTTGCTTTTTGGGTCACACCCAGCGATGCACAGGGGTTACTCCTGGGTCTGCACTCAGGAATCACCCCTGGCGGTGCTCAGGAGACCATATGGGATGTTGGGAATCGAACCCGGGTTGGCCACGTGTAAGGCAAACGCCCTACCCACTGTGCTATTGCTCCAGCCCCCCCCAAAACTTTAAATTTTATTTTTGGTTTGGGGGCCACACCTGGCTCTGCTCTCAGGAATTACTCCTAGCAGTGCTTGGGGGATGGGACACTGTGTACAGCAAGCGCCTGTATTATCTCTTCAGCCCGATGTCCTCCACTGCTCAGGCGGGTTTCCTAGTTCTCACCCTTGGCCTGGTTACCGCAGCAGCTGAGGCACATCCCCCTGGGGTGGAGTCTCAGGGCTCTGCGGGAGACCCTGAACCACCGGAAAGTCAGCCCCAGGGTTTGCTGGCCACAGTAGGTCTATGGGTGCAGGAGGAAGAAAGAACAGGACTAAGGAGCCCCTCAAATCTGGCAAAGCTGCAGCCACTTCGGTTTACGAACTCCAGTCTACGGCTCCCTCCCCAGTGCTCAGGTTTCTGAAGGAGGAGGCACCGGGTTAGAGCGGGTGCTGTCCTTTCTAGAGTGGTGGCACCAAGGGGTGTCAGTGGCCAGGCAGGGTTGAGTCCCAGCCCTGGGGCCATGCTCCCGGCTGCACCATCCCAGCAGAGCCTGGCAAGCTACCTGTGACGTATTCGATATGCCAAACACAGTAACAACAAGTCTCACAATGGAGACGTTACTGGCCTGCTGGAGCAAACTGATGGACAACGGGAGGACAGTGCTACTGGGGTTGGATCAATCACATTTTAATCAGATTAAGGAAGAGGTCCAAGGATTTGAGGAACTTCTTGGGGAGGGGTCCAACCTCCTCAACCTCCTCAGGGTCTGCTGAAGGTTTTATCAGGTCTGTTTTCTGTATCCACAAGGTGGATCAGTCTTTAGATTTTCCTCCCAGAAGTTCTGTTGACCTAACTTTCATTGCCAAGGGCCTTTCCCTATCTACCTGTCTGCATCAGTCCCAGGGGGAACTCGGCAGGTGCAGGGCCTCGGGCCCCTCGGGCTGGCCACCCCTGACAGCCACCCCCACCCCCACCCCTCCGCAGGCCTGACGGAGGACGAGGACGTGCGCGCCATGCTGCGGGGCTCCCTGCTCCGCAAGATCCGCTCGCGGACGTGTCAGCAGGAGCGTCTGTACCGGCTGCAGGAGGACTGCCTGAGAGTGCGGTTCCAGCGGCGCATCCTGCGCGCGCCGTCCACCTGTGAGCCCGGGCGCGGACTGGGGGGACAGGCGCGGCGGGCTCGGGGCTCCGTGCCGCCGGCCCCGCGCGCTGACCCCGAGTCCCGCCCGCAGTCTTGGTGCAGCACATTGAGGCGGTCCGCGAGGGCCACCAGTCCGAGGGCCTGCGGCGCTTCGGGGGCGCCTTTGCGCCCGCGCGCTGCCTCACCATCGCCTTCTGCGGCAGCCGCAAGAACCTGGACCTCGCGGCGCCGTCGGCCGAGGAGGCGCAGCGCTGGGTGCGCGGCCTGGCCAAGCTGCGCGCGCGCCTGGACGCAATGAGCCAGCAGGAGCGCCTCGATCAATATCCTGGCGGCCGCGAGGCGGGGGGCGCCGGGCTGGGCGGAGGTGTGCATGGGCGGGCTCCTGGGGACTGCCTGGGGTGGGGGGTGGGGTGCCTCCTGGTTTCCCGGCCCCGCGTTTGCGTGTGTGTTTCCTGAGCGTCCACACCTGGATCTATTCCTACCTGCACCGCGCGGATTCGGACCAGGACAGCAAGATGAGCTTCAAGGAGATCAAGAGCCTGCTCCGCATGGTCAACGTGGACATGGACGACACGTACGCCTACCGCCTCTTCAAGGTGGGCACAACCCCTGCCTGCCGCACCGCTCCCTCCCACCCTCCCCCCACATAGGGACACTTTCCCGCCTCTTCCCTTCTCACCAGCCGTGCACCCTCAGGGGATCCCCACACTCTTAACTTCCTGGTTCTGAGAGCACCTTGTCGACATGTGACTTTTCTGTGCTATACGTGGCCCCAGGTGCGTGTCCCTCCCTGCTCCCTGTAGAAGGAGGGTCACCTCCATGTCCCCCAGTGACCCCAACATGTAGGAACGCTGGCAGGCGCTGGATGGCAGATACCCGTGTGGATGTAGCCAATGTAACAGCAGGTGGCCCTGAGGGACAGGTGAGCATGGCACCCGGGCCATGGGCTCCATGTGCCTGACACGGATGCTATTACGGAGGGTGTTCACTGGGCAAGAGGCTGCTATGCACACACACAGGCAGGGTGCAGTTTCTTCCCAGGCGGAGAATCTCACCAGAGCGGAGGGCCTTGCACCGCTCGGAGCCTGCCCTCGGCTGGCTGTCCTGCCCGTGGGGCTGCATAGAGAAGAGGGTTGGCGCTGCAGGCCCCCCCTGAAACTGGTCACCTGCCCTCCAGGACTGTGACCACTCCAACGATGAGCGTCTGGAAGGCCCCGAGATCGAGGAATTCCTGCGGCGGCTGCTGACACGGCCGGAACTGGAGGCCATCTTCCACCGCTACTCTGGGGAGGACCGTGTGCTGAGCACCTCCGAGCTGCAGGAGTTCCTGGAGGACCAGGGCGAGGAGAGCGCCACACTGGCCCACGCCCAGCGCCTCATCCAGACCTATGAGCTCAATGAGACAGGTGGGGAGCCTGGGGACTGCCCTGGGCTCCTTGCACCCCACCCCCAGCCCCTGGGGACTGGCTGAGAGCGAATGGACTCGTTCATGGCAAGTATTGGGGGCATCTGGGCTGGACATGGGGATCCCCCATGTGACCTGTGGCCCCCCCTTCACTCTCCTGCAGCCAAGCAGCATGAGCTGATGACCCTGGATGGCTTCATGATGTACCTGCTGTCTCCCGAGGGGGCAGCCCTGGACCCCGCTCACAGGCCCGTGTTCCAGGACATGCAGCAGCCCCTGACCCACTATTTCATTTCCTCTTCCCATAACACCTACCTGACCGACAATCAGATCGAGGGCGCCAGCAGCACTGAGGCCTACGTTAGGTACCCACGGGTGGTGCCCAACCTGGGCGGACTACCGGGCTGGGAGCCCTGTTTCGGGAATGTGGGTCCTCTGCCACCAGTGGGCTGGGAGCCCTGTTTGGGGAATGGGTTTCAAGGCCCCCGCCACCCCCTGCCGCCACCAGGTGCTTCCTGTGACTGACCTGGCTCCCTTACCCCACTGCCCTGCTCTGTGGCATCTCCCTGACCCCACGCCCAGCTGGTCATCCTGTGTCCATCCACAGGGCCTTTGTCCAGGGGTGCCGCTGCGTGGAGCTGGACTGCTGGGAGGGCCCGGGAGGTGAGCCCATTATCTACCACGGCCACACACTCACCTCCAAGATCCTCTTCCGAGATGTGATCCAGGCTGTGCGCGACCACGCCTTCACGGTGAGCCCCAGGCCTGCCCAGCCTCCCGCCCCAACCCCAAGAAGCTGCCTAGCACGTCTTGCTCAGGGCCCGCTGCTGCTGGGAAGAGGGCAGAGCTGAGGCTGGGGACAAGATGAGAGTCTGGAAAGGGCTGATGGGCCGGGAGATAGTGTAGTGGGTAGGGCATTTGCCTCGGCATGTGGCCAACCCTGGTTGGAGCCTTGGCATCCCATATGTTCCCCGAGCACCACCAGGAGTGATCCCTGAGTACAGAGCCAGGAGTAAGCCCTGAGCATCAAAGATGTGGCCCCAACGACCCCCGTCTTCCTTCCCCAAAGGGAAAGGGTCGGAAATCAGTTTCCAGAGAAAAGCCAGATATGGAAGGATGTTTTTTTCACCCTGTCTCTGAGGAGCAAGTGGTGAAAGAGCAGCTCTGCGGCTGTCAATGCAGACTGTGACTCAGACCATCCAAGAGTAAAAGGGTCAGAAAACCAGGGGACTGGAGAGGTAGTACAGTGGGTAAAGCTGACCCGGCTGCAGCTCCCAGCGCTGCAGATGTTCTGTAGAGCCCTCCATGAGTGATCCCTGAGCACTGCTGGGTGTGGACCCCAAACAAAAACCAAACCAGCCCAGCATTGGGCTCACCGGGCTAGGACCCAGACCCCTCTCCCCCTTGGCCCTGTGCAGTGCCCTGTCCTCAGCCTGTCCCATCAGCGAAGGCTCAGTTCCCCAGAGGGAATGCCCAGAGCCTGTCTGCCTGCCCGGAAGGGGCGGGTCCAGGTGTATTGGGGTGATGGTGTGGTGGAGTGGGAGGGGTCTGACTGGCTGCTCCTCCCCCGCAGGTGTCCCCATACCCCGTCATCCTGTCCCTGGAGAACCACTGCGGGCTGGAGCAGCAGGCCACCATGGCCCACCACCTGCGCACCATCCTGGGGGACATGCTGGTGACCCGGCCGCTGGACCCCCAGAACCCTGAGGAGCTGCCAACCCCAGAGGTGAAGCTCCCAGACCCCAGCTGGGTGGCGGAGGGTGTGGTCGCTTCACATGCACTCCCTCATGCTCCCTTCCGGCTCAGGCCCACACCGCTCTTCTGCCCACAGGGGTCCTGCAGTTGGGGCTAGGGTCCCTGTGCCAGGCAGGGCTCAGCCACTAAAGTCACATCCCTGACCCCCCCACCCCCACCCCCTGCACCTTCTCATCCGTGGTCAAGGGCCCTGTGGCTGACCCGACCCTGTTTTCTCCGTCTCCTAGAGTCAGTCAGCTCGGCTCTGTCCTTGCAGCCTGAGCCCTTTGTCCCCTTTTCAGACGAGTGCAGAAAGGCCCCTCCTGCTCACAGTCCACTGTGTGGGAGAGAGACTCTGGGGCTGGGGGAGCTGCCTCGGGGACCCAGGAGGCGAGTGCTGTACCCCTGAGCTCACCCCTGCCCTGGGTTCCCCACGTGTGCCAGGAAGGTGCCATGTATGTGGCCATCTGGAGAGTGCGTTGCCGTTTCCTCCGCCCCGACTCTCTGGCTTCACAGAGGGGGTGACTCCCCAGCCTCCAGGTCCTTCCAGAAGCTTCTGACACAGGCCCATGTGCAGCAGGAGCTTCTGGTGGATGTGGCGGGAGACAGCATGTGGTTTGGTGCTTGGTCCCGGCTCTCTCCTGGGGTCTCCTCAGAGCGGCTCCTGAGCTGCTGCTTCCCTGCTGATGCCTCCTGGTTTCAGGGTCTGCAGGGATGTCGCGGCCTGTACCCAACTGATGGCTTCATGTGTTGTTTTCTACGTTTCCCTACTGGACACATTGTTCATCTGTGCTTCCTTGCTTGCACCTACTCTCACTGGCTGAAACAGTGACCAACGGGAACGCGGGCCCAGACTGAAGCCCATATTATTGGTCTCTGTAGCAGCTAAAGGGCCGGGTGCTGGTGAAGGGGAAGAAGTTGCCCGCGGCTCGGGGTGAGGACAGCCGAATTTTATCAGACCAGGAAGAGGAGGATGAAGAGGAAGAGACAGATCAGAGGCGTGCGGTGAGTGGGCCTGACTGGGTCCCCTAAAGCCCCCACCCCCAAAGGCTGAGCATACAGAGGCAGTGGGGGAGGTGGGAGCCGGGGTGGGGGGTGACAGCAAGGTGGCAGGCAGAACCCCTGACAGGCACATCCCCCCAGACCAAGCAGATCTCGCCGGAGCTGTCGGCCCTGGTCGTGTACTGCTCTGCCAGCCGCCTGCGGGCCCTGTGCCCAGCCCCGGCCCCTGCCCAGCCCTGCCAGGTCAGCTCCGTGAAGGAGAGCAAGGCCAAGAAGTTCACCCGAGAGGAAGGTAGGAGCGGCACTGGGCATCAGGTGGAGGTGCAGAGAAGAGGTCAGCGGGCCCTAGAGAGCGGGTGGAAGGAAGGAAGCACCAGGGTTCTCCTTCAGCTGCTCATAACCTAGATAAGATGCAGACAGGAGGGGTGATTTGCTGGGGTGACCCACAGAAGTGGGGGTTCAGGGACAGAACCCTGAGCAGCCAAGGACGGAGAAGCTGCAGGGGAGGAGGTAATGGGCAGGCAGTGTGCATGGGGGCAGTGGTGGCGGGCAGTGCCAGGGTGGGGGAGGGGTGACCCTGCCCCTCCAGCTCTGTCCCCCGCCTCCCAGGGAACAGTTTCGTGAGACACAATGCCCTCCAGCTGACGCGCGTCTATCCACGGGGCACACGCGTGAACTCCGCCAACTACAACCCCCAGGAGATGTGGAACTCAGGCTGTCAGCTGGGTGAGCCAGATGTGGGGAGCGCTGGGGGGCTTCAGGGGCCACTTGAAGCCTGGACAGTGGTGGGGCCACACAGCCCCTGTGGACAAAGGTCAGCAGTGGAGACAGTGACAGGCAGATGCATTTGATCCTAAGACTATGTCTGATTTTATTATTTGGTTTTACTGGGGTTTGGCCACCCCCAAAGTGCTCCAGAGACCCAGGATTCTGGTGCAGGGAGCTTCTGGCCTCTCCTAAGTTTTATGAAGGAATTAATTTAAAACCTGCTCCTCAGGTCCCCCTACTGTCATCCTGCTTCCTGGCACAGCACCCTGGTGCCTTCAATCACTGACTTGGGGATAAGGCTGCCCAGGCATGCAGGAGGGGGTTATGGTTCCCTGGGCCCGTGGCTCTGCAGGCTTCCTGGAGAAGGCCTGGCCATGAGGGAGTAATGGTTACGGCTCTCACCATCAGGCCCTGGGCAGGAGTCTGCAACTGTCATAGTAGGGACTAGGGTGCAGGAACCCAGGCACTGAGTCACGAGGGACCCTGTTTTGCCCCCAGTGGCCCTGAACTTCCAGACTCCGGGTTATGAGATGGACCTCAATGCCGGTCGCTTCCTGGTCAACGGGAAGTGTGGCTACGTCCTGAAACCCTCCTACCTGCGGCAGCCCGACTCCACATTTGACCCTGAGAGCCCGGGCCCCCCCACAACGACGCTCAGCGTCCAGGTGGGCCCGGGACCGAGCTTTGGGGCGGGAACAGGGCTGGTCCTGAGATGGAGGGGCAGGCCCATGTCTGAGCCCCGGGTCAGGGGTGGGCGGCAAGAGGCCTGAGACGCCCGTGCACCCTAGGTGCTGACGGCCCAGCAGCTGCCCAAGCTGAAAGAGAAACCCAGTTCCATCGTAGACCCCCTGGTGCGCATTGAGATCCACGGAGTGCCTGAGGACTGTGCTCAGAAGGAGACGGACTACGTGCTCAACAACGGTGGGGACGGGGCTCTGCAGAGGAAGGGAGGAAGGGCTGGGGGCGGGCCCAGCAGGGAAAGGAACGCGTGGCCTGTCGGGGAGGGGCGGGACCTGCAGGGAAGGGATGGATGAGGGCGGCCCTGCTGGGAAGAGAGGAGCTTGCCTGCAGGGCCAAGACTGGATCTTTGTTGGGGGCGGGGCCTACAGGGGAGCGCCGAATAAGGGGCGGGGCCTGCAGGGGAGGGCTAGTTCGGGGGCGGGGCCTCAGGGAAGGCGTGAGTAATGGGGCGGGGCTTGTGGGGGGCGGGCTGGGAGGGGCGTGGCCTGCGGGGAAAGCTGAGTGATGGGGCGGGGCCTGTAGAGGAGGGCGGGACGGGGTGTGGCGTGAAGGGAAGGCTGAGTGATGGGGCAGGGCCTATAAGGGGGGGGGGAGGGCGGGCGGGGCGGGGCCTGCACTGGGAGGGGCGGGGCCTGCAGAGAGGGCTCAGTGATGGGACGGAGCTTGGGATCCGGGCGGTCCTGACTGCGTGCCCGCACCCTAGGCTTCAACCCGCGCTGGGAACAGACACTGCGATTCGTGCTGCGGGCGCCCGAGCTGGCACTGGTGCGCTTCGTGGTGGAGGACTACGACGCCACCTCCCCCAACGACTTTGTGGGCCAGTTCACGCTGCCGCTCTGCAGCCTGAAGCAAGGTGGGTGGCGGCTGGGCGGATGCGGGCTCCCCCGCAGGGTGCCCTGGGAGCGAGCCTGACCCGCACTGCCTACAGGGTACCGCCACATCCACCTGCTGTCCAAGGACGGGTCGTCCCTGAGCCCGGCCACGCTCTTTGTCCACGTCAGCGTTCTGCGCTCCTGAGGGCCGGCTGCCCCCTGTGGATCTGGGGGTGCCAGACGCATCCGCTTCTGGGGCTCCGGACACTGGGCCGGCGTCAGACCACTCTACCCGCATGCCAGTTCCCTCCCGAAGTGCAGGGGGTCAGCGGAGAGCAAGCTTGCTGGAGGGGCGCAGCTCCTGAGGTCTCAGCCCCTGCCCCTGCCTCTAGCGGGGTCCCAGCCCCTCCCGAAATTGTTGCCCCTTTGCCTGGGTATGAACTACCCCCAAATGCCCTCTCCCCAGCCCCTCTCCTCTGGATACCCTTCTCAGCCCTGGGGAAACCCAGCAGCAGGTCTGCGAGCATGGGGGCAGCCGGGTTCTGTCCTGGCCCCCAACTCAGGCCCCCGAGGAGGTTCCCCCACCCCCGCCCCAAAGCAGGCCTGTATTTTTGTCTGAGGCCCAGTGCTTACACAGTGGGTCCCCACCCCAGGTGGCACTGGGCAGATGTTCTTTTAAAGTAAATCTATGATTCGTCAACAGTCAAGTTTTGATTCGTGCATTTTCTATATGCCAGGGGTTGCAGGGAACTGTCCCAGGTGAAAGGGGTTGAGTGGAACAGGAGTATCCAGCCATAGCACTGGAGCGCTGGGGTACTGGGTCCTTTGCTTAGCCTGCTGCTGGCCTCAGGGACTTCATTCAGAGTCCCCTCTCCAGGTCTAGCAGGAGACATCTGCTAACAGATGGTCCTGGAGATGGCAGTTCTCCTTTGCTAGCTTCTGGAGACACTGCTCTGGGCTGCCCTGTGGAACCTCGCATCAGTGCCAGCTCAGGACTAAGGCTGACCTAGTATAGTTGTTAGAAAGTAGGGGGCTGGGAAAGGACCGCAGGAAGCCATGGCTCCCCTTGGCCCATGCAACTGGCACCCTCTGATGCAGCCCAGGAGAGCCAGCAGACAGGGAAGGGTGGGCGGAAGCCAGGGGTCCAAGACTTGGTACCAGGAATGCAGCCAGGGTAGGGGAACATGAAGGCCCCAAGCATGAGGCCGAAGCATGGGGCCGAGGAGCTTGGAGAGATAAGGACAGTAGGCGGGGCACTTGCCTCACATGTGGCCAATCTGAGTTCAATCTCTGGCATCCCACATTGTCTCCCAGCACCGCCAGGGTGCAGAGCAGGTGTGACCCAAGACCAAAACCAAATAAAAAGAACTGGGGTGAGTGGGGGGTGGCTTGAAGGAAGGGAGGGAAACTGGAGACACTGATGGGTACTGAAACGGTGTGTGACTCACACGCAATCATGGACAATTTTGTAATGCTCTTTCTCATGTTAATTCAATAAATAAAAAGAACTGGGGCGACCAGGGGGCCCCAGTGGGGAGCCAGCCCCAGGTCACACCCTCCCAGGCCGACTAAGGGGGTGCAGGAAGTCAGAGGCTGCAGGAATGTGTCCTGAGGTCTGGTTGGGGAGACAAGAGCTTGGGTCTGTCTAGGTGGGTCCCAGAGTCCAGGTTCTCTGGAAGGCGCTTGGGTGCCCGTGCCCATGGGAAGGGAAGCCAGGCTTAGCACCTCAGTAGCCCAAGAGCAGTGCAGCGCCTCAGAGGCCTGCAGAGAGGATGGGAGGGGTGGCCCCGGACTTGCTCTGCTCCCAACATGCAGACAGTGCGGTCAGGCCCAGGTGGGCAGGTGAGGCTGGGAATGGGGGGCGGGGGCTGCTGGAGCACCAGTTTGCCTTCAAGGCAGCCTTGTCCAAGTGAGATCTGCAAATGTCACCCCAGTGCTGTGCCCCTGCTCCCTCAGCGACAGGGCGCTCCTGACATGACCTCACTGGGACTCCCACCCTGGAAGTAGACACAGAAGGGCAGTGAGTTGAGCTGCTTCCTTTATTAGGAACAGTGCATGTCTCCAGCAGAACAACGCAGGTGGCGTTTCCTCCCCCCTCCCCCGGAAATGGACGCCCCTCCCACAGCCCAGAAAAAAGCCAAGACAAAAAGGTGAAGCCCCTTGCCAGCTCCAGCGTGCCAAGACTGCACCCCAAACGGTCCTGTCCCATTTCCTGGAGCCGGCTGCCTTGTAAGCCAGGTCGCGAGACCCCGGAACCCCAACCACATCCCGCCCGGCGTCCTCTTTGGGCCGCTCCATGCTGGTCATCTTCAGGCCAATTCGGGAGCTCAGGCCTTCAGACCACAGATCCATCAGTCTCTTGGGAAATTCACCTACAGACAGGAGCCAGCCGAGCCCGTGTTCACAGCTTGGAGCCACAGATGCCCAAGTTGGTGTTTGCACAGCGGCTCTGCCTGGCGGGTGGGGAGCAAAGGGTGTGGGCCCAGGCTGCCTCCTTGCTTTGCTCAATCCTTCATGGCTTCTTGGGTGGCTGTGGGTGGGGTGACGCGGAAGGGAAGCAATGGTTCTCCAGGCTCCCACACTGAGACTCAACACGGCAGGCGAGGGCTGTGGCACAGTGAAGGGCAGGTCACGTGATTTCAGAGACAACGGGCCTTTCTAGAAGTTTCTTCCAGAGCAGCCACTGGGGCCTCTGTTCCCATTCCACAACCTAGGTCACCTAAGTAAAGCTCACATTAGGGGATGTGCACCCCAAACTTCAGAGGCAGCTCAGGCTGGGACGTGGCCTGAGTGGGTTGAGCCTTTCCGAGTCCAGGCGCTGCTCATGGACGTGAGGGGTAGGGCAGGGGTGGCGCTCTCTGCTTCCCCACGTCTTGGGGCGCTGCCCAGGTGAGCTGCCGAGGAATGTGGGTGCCAGTGCCACAGGGCCTCTCCGACTGCTGTGAGCGCAGTGCGCATCTTGCCAAGAATAGCAGCTTCTTTGGTCTGGGCGTCCTGGAGTGCAGGTCAAGGGCTGGCCATGCCTGTTGCTGCCTGCAGCTCACAGCACAGGATGAGGGAGGCCTTGAGGCCTCAGTGGAAAGGCCGACACCAGAGTGGGGGTACTCTTTCAGGTGACACCACCCCTGTCCCTTGCGCTCAGGGGAGAGCCGAGCGAGCCTCCGGTCAACCCCACCAGAACCCAGCCGGGACCCAGCCTGTGGGCCACAGGGCCTGGCTGCCGTCTGGAAGAGTGGGCCGAGCGAGCGGAGCAGCTGTCTTCCCCTGCCAGGAACCCACACAGGGCAGGTCCTGCCGGCCACCCGCTTCCTCTCTCTTGGGGCCGCCAAGTCCATACAAACCTGGGTATGAGAGGGAACCGGGTTCCACCACCACCGGCGCTCAGAGTGGCGCCAGCACGTCTGTTCCGTGGCCTAGTCTGGGCTGGGAAGGCGCTCAGCAGGAAATGGCCGATGGGCTGGAAGGCACAGGCTGGGGGCTGCGGATGAAGGGTTGGGGGCCAGCCCCACACCTCCTGTGCCCCGCACCCCCGGGGGCTTCAGGGTGTTGCTTTCAGCTCGAATGTGAACCAGTGGGTCTTCATGAGCACCCCGATGCTACAAGGAGGTCCAAGGTCCCCTTCCAACTGCCAGTCACCCCCCGGCTCCTCTACAGAGCCCTTGCATGTGGCTGGCAACGAGACTCCCCTCAGAGCGGGCCCCAGTGCACAGAGGGGCTCACTACGAGAAACCCACCTCCATGGGCTGAGCTCTTCCGATTGCATAAGGCAGAAGCGGCCGGGCCCACCCTGCGGGCCCTCACCTGCTGGGGGCTGAGGCCTGACCCCCGCAGAGCTCAGTGCTAGCCCTCCACCTCGCCTGCCTTCCCGAAGCCGGTCACTGCAGTCGACTCAGAAAACCAGGGCAGGGTCCCCGCATCCTCTTTCTCCTGCTCCCCCGCAAGCCGAGCCTGCTTCTCACGCCAACCAACCGTGGTGCCAAGCCGGCCTGTCTGGCACTGTCCTCAGATTCTGATTTTGAGGAAGGATCTGGAATCAGTTTTTCATTAGAGACCAAACATCCTTTGTACACTTGGAACATGAAAGATATTTAAAATATTTATATATATATAATATATATACTTTTTATTATTCACCCGTTAACTCCATAATATGCCAATCGCGGGCCAGTTTTCAGCAGTTACATTCCCTTGATCATGCCTGCAGAAGGATGTGATTAATTGGAAAACAGGGAGACCAGAGACCCGGCCAGCGGTGACAGCACGCAGCCCGTGCCACTGCAATGCCATTGACAATTCAGCGGCGGTTTGGTAAAGCCGGTTCCGTTCTGCTCCCTTTGCCAGGGATTCTCACGTCTGTGAAAATTGGACCAACAAGTGGTGGGTTCCATTTCCTGGTTTGAATTCTCAGTGGCTTTGTCCAGAATCTCACGGGCGGCTGGTTACTGTAACACCAGGCCGACCTAGGGGAGCCAATGGGGAGAGGCAGGGATGAGCAGACAGCGGCCAAGATGCTCCCGTGCCCCACCCCAGCCTGGACTTCTGGTTGGTTGGTTTGGGGGCCACATCTGGTGGGGTGCAGCTGAACTGTCCCAGCAATGCTCAGGGAACCGCGTGGTGCTGGGGGTCAAACCCAGGACCCGTGTACGCTAAGCGTGGGCTCTGGCCTGCAGTTCTGCATGAGCCCCAAGCGCCAGCAGCATTCCACGCACAGCAGGCCCTGCCAGGGGGCGCTTGCCGGCACCACACCTGGCCTCTTGCTGCTCAGCATCAGGTGTTGGCTCCCAAATCCCAGGGGATCTTTGGACCAGGGAGGGAGGGTGAGGGAAGATGGGTCAGGCCTCAGCCTCGGAGCAGCCACAGTGGGAAGGAGACCACGATCACCCTCTGCCTCAGTGCCGCTCTGGGGCCTGTGCCATCAGCCACCATCCCAGCAGCTATACCAAGGGACTGGCCCTGTGGCCTGGTTTCTACTGGAGATGTGGCTCCCTGCCCCAGAAGGCCCAACTCCAGCAGGGTGGGAGCCTGGAGGCGGCACCTGACACACACACACACACGCACACACACACACACATATACACACACACACACACACACACACACACGCACCTTCTCCGCCCCCATGCTGGGGCACTTCCAATTGTAAAGGTAATACTGCAGGTTGCCGTCCCCGATGCCGAACTTGAGCTTCTCCAGGAAGGTTTTGTTCTCCATGAGATCCAGTGCATTGAACACGTCAAACCCTTTCTACACAGCGGCGGGGACAAATCAGTGGGTGAAGACCAGCAAAAAAAAGATAAAGAGTGGGTGAGGAGAAGGAAAACCGCCGCCAAACTGTCCTTTCTGCTCCCACACCGATGGCCCACACAGCTGCCTGGGAGAGCCCCGGCCCCTCAGAGCCGCTGAGACACCCCAGCCAGCACCTTGCTCTCCTGGGGCGCAGAGCGCCACCCTCTGGCCTCATCCATGC